TCATCATCATCATCATCATCATCATCATCATCATCATCATCATCATCGTCCTCATCATCGTCATCATCGTCATCATCATCGTCATCATCATCGTGAGCATCGTCATCATCCTCATCATTGTCATCATCATCATCGTCATCATCATCGTCGTCATCATCATCATCGTCATCATCATCATCGTCGTCGTCATAATCATCGTCGTCATCATCATCAGCAGCAATCATCATCATCATCATCATCATCATCATCAACTACCAACATCTACTACCAACCATCTTGTCAATCGCTGCACTTCCGTGCCCCTTGCAACTGCCAAGCGCAACAATCCTGAACAAAAACCACTCACCGTTTTGATACTCTTCGATTAGAAACCACCATGACACCCCGCTGTACAGGCCTCACAAACACGCTCCTCGCCCGGAGTGCCAGCCGCAGCAGGGGAGCGGTTCAACCAATGCTTGCCGATGACCATCAGGGCGTCTGCCAACAAGTCACGCCTGCATCGGCAGGAGGAAACTCCTTGAAGCTTCCTTCGCCACAAAAAAGGCGGCGCTCATTGCAACAAAACAACTACAATGTGTTTGTTGTGTACATATTATATGTAGAATATCAATGCGACATGTGTGACAGGTGTATGCTAATTCTTTGCGCGCGCATACACACACATATGCCGCCACATGCAACTTGGCATGTCACATGCTTGCGATGTGATGGTCAGTCTCACAAAGGCCTCCGCCGAAACTCTTAGCCGTTTTCATAACCATGCCGCCACGCCTACCGATGGCGGTCGCTGGAACAACGACCTCGATCAAGCTGCGAAGGCATTGCCGCGCTTTCCTTAAGGAGCGACTCAAGAGCGACGCTGGGGGAAGGGGCTGGCAGTTTTTGTCCGCCTTCCTCGCAGGCATGCAAACTCTATGACGAAACGATAATGTAACCGTCACCGCCACCCTCCTTGGAGGAAAACAACAGGATTACCATGGGTATATATCTTGGGCAACCTAATCCCTGTAACAGCGGATGATGGAGCCTGGTTCCAGGCCTTTCTCAGAAACAGTGATGTTCTTGTTAACCGACTCTGACGAGTTTACTGGGACATTCATCATATTTTATCATAGAAATATCCATCATAGATCCCCTAATCAATCCTAATCACCTTCATACCAGTCTTACTCGCTGCGGAAAACTGACGGCCACTCGTCGAAAATAGACGGAGATGTCGCAAACCCAGCGAGAACTTCTCATCCCTGAAGCGCCCATCATCCAACAGGTCAATCCTGGTGTCTATACATACGTATACAGCTCACCTATGCTGCAATCCCCATGACTGAATATGATGATGAAAGTCTCAGTACAAATTGGAGATGAAAGCTGATCAATCACAGAGTGATCCTCAATCAAATGGGGATTTGCCCAAACCTGGAGCCCCCACCATGTAGCTCATGTAGCTTGAATTTCCAAGTAGGGTCTCCTGCTGCCACAGCCTTAGCCTTGCAAGTCATCAATCTATCTAAGGGTATATTGGTATAAATATCCCCTTCCCTATCAAATGCCTTGTTCAAAAAGAGTGATTGTTGTTTACCGACTGCTACAGATTTGCAGGCTTACTGGGACATCCCCCAAATCTATCTCCCATCCACTCAGCCAATGCTCACCTATATAGTTCTCCATCAGCCGCCCTCTCTACGTGGGTTCCCACCGCGTCACTTGGGCTTTTTGGGCTTTCTCAGCCTGCGCCGAGGTTCTGCACCGTGAGGGGCGACTGAAGGAGTTTCAGGAAGCGCGGCACCAGCTCCCCGGTGCTCTCATCCATCACCTCGCCGCAGGTCCGGGGCGTTTCGGTGCCGCCACGAACTCGGTCGGTCCCGGAGTTGCGATGGTTGGCGGTTGAGTGGGGGAAGCGAGAAGGCTTGTGGAATACCCAGGGTGGAAAAGCATCACTTAGCTTCGCATTGGGTAGAGATGGGTAGAGCATCCAGTAGAGCTTCTAAGATGTCCAACACATCGAGGAGTGGATCATGATGATCATCAACAGTTGCCGCGGCACGAGTTCTTCTCTCTTCCTTCCTACCGCGACGCGCAGGAGCTCAGTGCGGCGCGTGAGACGGATTCCGCGGCGGTGGGCGCCTGGTGATTCAACGGATTCCTCGCCAAGGCCGCGATCCTCGGCGCATGGCGACGGCCGGCCGGAAGAACCGGTCGCGGTGGAACACGGGAAGCCCCGGTTGGGCAAGGCAAGTGATTTCGGACACTTGCATGGCATTATATCCATCCAAGGTTGGAGCCTCACAGTGAGCAGCAAATGAGTCAAGTCAGTATAACACCCTATGAGAGATCACCTTCCGTTCAGGGTCACCCATGGAAGCCCCATGAAACATCCAGATTCCGCCTTTGATTGCCGCCTTCATTTCGCCTGGCCAGTCCGTCCACCGAGGCTCACGTCCATCACAAAGTCCGCCTCATCGACATAACCTCCGGCCCACGCGACGGCACGTCGCGTACGTCGTGTGCAAGGGAAAGCCGCAAGCGCACGCAAGACCGGGCAAGAGAAGGTGTCAGTGCGTTTCAGCACTTGAACTTTCTAAGACCTCTCGAACGCCCCCACCTTTCACGAACTTTTGGCACATACATCCCAAAATCTTGGTCGAAACTGCAAAAGCCCTTCCGTGATTTTGATGATGGTTGGACGCATTGGGTCAAGAATGAGGGGGTCAGGATTGCCTCCAAGTTAATCCAAGAACTCGACCCCAATCGACTTGAAGCGTGCAACAAAGACAGCTTCACATCATGTATCCAGCCGTCTCAGCCAAGCCGCTGCGAATCCGCGCTCTGGTGTCAGACTGCTCCTGAATCTTGGCTTCTTCAATCTGACTCTGTGTCATTGCCTCAACCCAAGAAATCTCAAACATCGCCGGAGGAGCTACCATGAGCTACCCAGCTACCGGAAGCATGGAGGGGTTGGCCACGGCCGCTCTGGCAATCAGCAATCATCCGGGGAGATCTTGGGATAGATGTGGTGGGCACAGTTCAAGGTCCAATCAAGGCTGGTACTGGGTGCACCTATGTGCACCTACCACTGTGTTGAAGCACAACCTATCAAAAAATCATTCACCACCAACGATGTACAGTGATCTACACGGAGTTTGTCTTCTTGTCCGTTCACACCAGGGCTTTGGCCGTAGTACGTCTGACAACTACTTCCAGAAGCCGCTAACTGGCCTCGGTGCTCGTCGATCCGTCAAAGCAAGCAGTGCTCTGACTAGGGGCACTTCCCATCTTTGATCCTTCCATGTGCTTCCCCTAACTTCCACCCAACAGAAATGAGGAGTATTCTAGTGTTTCCCACCACCGTCACGAGTCTGGGCACGCGTCGGGGGGGGAGCACCGGCACCGACGAGCTCACCACCCGGCACACCGGCCGTCACCAGGCACCGGCCGTCAGTCAAGGAGCTCCCTTCTCTCCGGGTGCACTCTTGGCTTTGCTTTTGGCCTTTGGATCCTCGCGACATGGGTAGGGGTCATGGGCACGACTATGGGTATGACATGGGCCATGACATGGACCATGCCGCATGCCTTAGGATCCATGATGCTGCCGCAACCAGGAGTCGTTTGTGGTCATGGACCAAGCTGGCCACCATTGACCATGGGTCGGTCCTTTCTCAAAAAAAGAAAGGCCAGCAGATAGGGGCGCGAAACATTGGAGGACCAAAGCTGAACACATGTATTTTCAGGCGATCCCGTCAATTTTGTCCACGTGAGGGTCTCTTTCGAAAGCTTTAGTGGCACCAATGTGCGGCCCTGCCTTGGCTGCCTTGCTCTCCTTGGGCTTCTCCTGCCAGTCAACCAAGGCTGCGGTGTTCAAGCAGGGAGTTTCCGAAAAAATTGGACGAGGAAGGAGTTTATATTATACCCAGACACTCCAAACAGCCCTTGGTCTCTCATGGTCCCTCAAAACCTAGGGATTTGAGACCCCAAACCCCTCCATATGAGGGTCCAGGAGCGTCTGGATAATTTTCAAATCTCTGGTATCTTGTTCCAAATGATGGTGAACCAAGGGGGGCTTGGTGCTCTGGACCACCCTTTTGACCCTGGTGCCTTGGCTTGCGGAAACGCGCCTTGTCGCGGGCCAAAGGCGCAAACTTCATCCGGGAGGCTGGGGCTTTGACCTCCTCCTCCTCGTCCATGTCCTTGCCGCAAGCGCGGCGGTTTTGCGCGGGGAAGTATGGCAGTTCGAGGAACGATAGGAAAATCTCGGGTAGATCCCGAAACTTTGTACTGTAAACCTACAGGCAATAGCAACGTCCAGGTGGACTGGTTCATGCAGGAACGTGCAAATAGAGGCATCACGAGCCATCGTGGCTTCCTAATAAGTACAGAACCTATCACGATCTTCAACATATGTTCCATCCCAAACACTCCATGTAATATGGTATATATGCCTACATTGACCCCCCAGGCACCACCCCAATGTAGGGATATGTAGGGACACAGTATATGGCACTCGGAGTGTTATCCCAAGAGATGTTAAGTGACCATATAGGACCTTACTGGGGTACCTATGGGATAGGCTATAGGGCCCTTCAACCTCTGTTGGTCCGTGAAGAGTCCCGGCCACATCTGGTTCACATCTTTGGGACGGTAGAGGCTGTCCTGACGCGTCTGTCCCTGCGTCTAGCACACTCCCGGAGTGAGCTGTGCAACGATTTTCCTCAGCTCACGGGATTCCTGGCCCCAGCATTGAAATAGCAGCCTTTACAGAACAACCACACTATGTTTTGCTAAGGGTTTTTCACTGACTACAAAAACCATCAAAAACCATGCCTATTGTCATTTGCCCCTGCTTTACAGCTGGACAAGTCAAAAGTCCAACAGACGAAACCCCAAAAGAACTGGTCCTGGTGCAGCGCAGTCCAGTCGGGACTGAGTCAGCCAATTCTCAACTGCTCTCAACTGCCAGCTGCTCCAAAAAGGTTCACTCTTCCCAAAAATGGTGTTCAACCCCAAGACGTGGGACCGCCCACCTTGTTCCTTCCAACGTTGACTCCTGAAGGTACTTGTTCTTCGACACATTCTTGTTGTTCCTCTCTTCGGCCACATAGACGCCCTCCTCGATCCACAGGACGCCCTCAGGGGCAAAGAAGACCTTCACATCCTGAGCGGTAACGCGGTAACGCGGTGCTTGGTACGGTGAAGGAACCACAAAAGCCCTTTCACACCATGTTCAATGATTTTGAACATGTTTAAACCAAGGAAGGACGGACAGAAAGAATATACACACAGTAACAGCCTTAGGTACGGTACACGTCTCTTTTTTTGAGCTGAACATCGGCTGCTAAGCCTATACAAGTATAGGCTTGTGTTTTTGGTCGAAGGAGCTTTCGCTTGGAGCTGGTTTACTACTACCTTTCACCTTCCTTTTGCTGGCACGGCCGTGGAGTGTGTGACACCCTGGTGGGATGCAGATGCTACAACTGAGACCATCTGGCCACGTGGGACCGCAAAACTTCCAGCTTCGACGTGTGACGACGTGGGACGGCGAGAAAAAAGACCACCAAAAAGGCGATGTGTGTGCGTGTGTGTGTCCTTTGCCCATGCGCTCCCCCCAACGCCGCGTCCCTACCACGCTCCTCGAGCTTTTCAGAGATCACCTGGCTCGAAGGAAGGTCCGATCTTGGCGAAGCCGCTGTTTTGCCGCGAAGCTGTCTGGTCCGAAATCCCTGATTTCAGCTTGAAAAGAGGAGTCCATGGTTTGAGATCTTGGAAGGTTTGAGTTAGGGTGAGCCCCTTCAGACCCAGGCCATCGCCCATCTCCGGCCGGTCCAATGCATCGAACTCCGTGTCGCGACGGGCGACACGTCGCGCGCTGAGGCCGATCGGAGGCCTGATCCGATGGCAACGCATCGAGGCAATCCTTAGCATCCACGGCAGAAGGCGGCGGCGCTGTCACCGGTCGGTGCGCCGCGACCGACCGGCGCGCGGCGTGGTACGCGTGGTACGTCACCCGGACGCACCGGGGGCCAAAAGGATGGCTTTTTCAACATGCTCTGGATTGGGGAGAAGATGTTCCGGATCCTGAGGGTCTTCTGGACTCACTGCAAGCGGGTAAGGCTAATACAGCACATGGCATGGTGACCATATTGTGGCGCAATGTGACACCTACACACACTTCATAGACACAAACTATTGTCAAACAATGATACAGGAAATAGGATCAAAATCCTCACACTACTTACCGATGACCAACCACCAGCCAATTTGCCCAGGAGTCTGTGCTAAGCTTTAAATGGGACGCGTCAGTTGTCAGGAGTTGAACACATCGCAGCAAGGAGCACGAGGCGGATGGACTGCACCCCTTCGTTTGTCCTCGTATGCCCTACACCGGATAGGTGACACATGTCAGTCTTCCAGTTCATTCCATTTCGGTCCATTGATCAGCTTCCGCATCCTTACATACTCCCCTGACTACGTCCAACGTCCCCACCAACGTCCAACGGCGGTACGGCCAGTCCAACCTGGAACGCTCCGGGCCCCTCTACCGAGGTGCCTGTAAGAGTCTGGTTGCCTCCTCGCCGCTGAAGGTCTCTGCCAAAGCAACGGCTGCCCGGCGGCAGCCACTCCCATCGTTGGCCGGGAGGCGCCCTGGGGAGCGAAAGAGCTACCGGAGAGCGACACATGGGGGAGATGGATGAGGATGGGGGAAGATGGTGCGGGGATAGACATAGAATGCTGTCATCTGGCGAGAATCAAAGGGTGCCTGGAAAGGACGACAGCATTAGAGAACCAAAACTCAGTGCATGGCGGCATCGAGCCATCGAAACTATATGGAAACCATGTGTCGGGTTGATAGGACACATATCTTTCGTGAGGGAAGGAGCCAATGGTACTAGTAACATGGCTGGATTCTCTGTCAAATCTGTTGCTCATTCTGAACTAATACTAGCACGTTGTTTTTTGTTTAAAAGGTGTTGGGTCAAGACTAATTGGTGGTTGGAGAAAGGCCATAAAAAAGAGACAGCTGCCATCACCTGCCCGTCAACACGAAAAAACAAACAAATCGTCGCTGATATGCAAACTCCTGCATGTGCCAGACCATGGCAAACTAGATATGTTTGCATACGTATGGCATGGGTCACAATGCAGCAGTAGGGCCAGTAGAATGGTTTCACATCACAACCAACAGTCAAGACATGTCAACATGTTTGACTGGGCAACTGGGGACGCAAAGAGTTTCTTCACCTCAAAACCATGGGTGTGTTTAACTTTGTTGGCATGACAATAGAAACCCCTGTGGAAGGACAAACAATGAGTCTATTCGGTCGTTGAGTTTGCCTTAAAAAAATGAGACTCCAAACAAAAACCCATTCAATATAGAAGGAGAGACAAACTTAAAGCCGGTCACCTGTGCCAGTTTAGGCAGCTGAAGGCACCTCGATCTATATCCCCCCATTGCTGCCAAGGCTCTGCCCGTAAAGATCAGTTCTCTCATGGAGGGTCCCGTCCGAGAGCCCGCCTGGTCAACAAACACTCGGTGTCACTCGTGTCAACTCAAACAGTAGAGGGCCCTCACCTGGCGACCGATGCTGCGCGCACTGTGCTGCGCATACGGAGCACCTGACTACGGCGGATCACGCCGACGGCGCGTCGGAAGTTCCAACGAGTCGAGTCGGTGCAATGAATATACTTAAGCCGACATGCTCTAACAAAGAATTACTGTATATAATGCAACAGTAGCACAGCCCACCCCCTAAATCTCTTTAGATATCTGTGACCTCATCAGCCTCACCTCCATCATCACCACATTGATTTCATCTCCTTTCACCCTCCCCGAGAGGCTTGCCTCCTTGAAGCACTTCCCAAAGTCCTTCCTTTGCAAATAGCGCCAGAGTCGACGCGTCGGCCAGCAGCCAGTCGCCAACAAGGGGTGGTGTGCTGCGAAGGACAGCCTCGCAAAGCGCGTGCCGGTGCTGGGAAGAACAGTAAGTCAACCGAAGATGTTCCGGACCGGAACAAAGAATCCTTTCCAGACACTCCATGTATGCCCAAACCACCCCAATGTAGGCATACATGTGAAACATGGAGTGTCTCGGCTTGTGTCTTATGGACTGTGAAATGCCAGAGGGGTGATGGCGATCCGCATCATTGCCTCCCCTGAGCTGATTTCCGTGTCCAGAAGCGATGTTTTTACCGAACATATATTGTTTCAACGGTGCGCGTGCTCCGACTCGCAAAAATCTCACCCAGGGGACAAGCAAAGGACCTCTGGCCGCACATCTCCTTCCAGGGCAGATGCGGCCCTGCAGAGCTCCACTAAGGTCTGTCGCAAGGCTGCGCTACCAACCTGGCCGGCCACGGTTGGGCTGTTGAAAGGATATAGGTGTCGCGGGTTGGTGCTGACAATGTGTCTTTTCTCTCATGACTAGTGAATCAGTCGATACATGTCCAATACCCACACACACACAAATAAAGAGAAAACCGAAGCAGTAAAACACCACAGGAAAATCAAACAACTGCAACAGCCCGGCTGCAAAAAAACACCACTCGTTGGAGGCCCAAAGCCACAAGAGACTCAGTTGGAGAAAAAGGGATAATCATGACCCCTCGCAGATGGAACCTGGGAATTCACCCGTAGTTTCGACCGTTATCCTCTACAACCTCCAGTGGTTTTGGGCTGCAGGGCTAATCTCATCGACGAGCCCAGACGTTGGCCTGACGCTTCTGCTTGGGCAGCGCTGATTGCTCTGCCAACCAAGCCACCAGGGCCTGAGTAGAAGCTTCGGCAACTATCCAGAATGCACATAATGCACACGAAAAAACATGTCAACAAATGGAAGAACACCATGCAAAGCCATGGACAAGCTAGACAAAGCCATGGACGACCGAACACAGAAAGGGCATCAGGAGTGGTATCAGAGTGTAGCCTGCTCCGTCCGGCGCTGAGTGATGCAATGGCTTACCATGGCTTACCCATCTGCCCGAGTACCCATCGCAACAGCAAGCCCACCTGCGACAGTGAGAGCAGCAGCGCGGTAGGATCTTTGGCCTGTCAAATCATATGTTCACAGCGTCCGGGTCATCAAAAGCATTCAAAAGCAAGGTGAAAATCATAAAGTCGCCAGAAAGTAGATAGACCTCATATGAGGGTGTATGTTTACTTGTATGTTTAAAAAAAGAACAGCGGTCTTTGTGACAATTCCATACAATTCCATGATTACGGTAGCATGGGGGAAAAAAGACCATGGCCCCCTTCAGGCTGACTCTGAAATCAATTCGCATCTCAATCGGTGTGGGCACAGCGAAACGCTTCGAGTGGTGAGGACAGCTGACGGCGCTCGGACGCTCCGTCTGACCGCTCCGCCTCTCGGAGGACCTCCGGCAGGTGCAAGAGTGCCGTCTCGGACGTCGCCTCTCGTGCTGGCGCCACCGAAGGCCAAGCAAAACAGCCTGACTGGTGCGACTCGTAGGGAATGAGGGTGGCTGGATCCAAAGGAATCTCTATTGGGGGCTCATTCCCTCATTCCCTACTAAACCAGTCAGCAGCAAAAGGGTCTTCTCAAGACTGGCCGCCAAAACTGCTCGCTTTGAATCCCAGATGTCCTATGAGCTCGCTACTTGGCGCAAAAAAGCACACATGGCTGGCAAAGAAAATCCTCCAATATCATCCAAAGATCTACACCGGAATTAATATTCTGTATATGCTACCGTCCGAGCATATCCTATATCATATTGTCAGTGGCTTGGGGGAACAAGGGCTTCGTGATGTTTCGTGACATGCCCATTGAACCCATCAACTCCAACATTCCATCAGCGAAGACCTTATACACTCGTTGACCAGTTTCCAAAGAGCCCTTGCACGATGGTCCATGGTCTGTGTTTTTAGGCCTTTTGGCCGCCGAACCGGCTGCGTCCGAGGCTCTTTGGTCTTGCCAGGGGCGCGTTCAGGGCAGGAAGTGTGGAGGCCTTAGCTGATAGGAATTGGTGATGGACATCAGGTCTTACCGTAAGTAACATGAAACACCATATTTTACACCAAATAGGGATACTGATTCAACTGAATCCAAATCATCGGTATCATGCAGTCCACCCACTTTCTTCAGGTTTGACTTTAACACAGGTTGTGGGCTTCAGTCAAGATATATCTTAAAAACATATATATATATATAGTATTAAAAACACACACAAAAAAAGTGGAGGGACGATTACATAAAATGCTCTCAGTTGAGCAGTTGGGCAGCACATTTTGCGAATGCGTTTCAAAGTTCACCTCGCGTGGACAGCGCTCAGAACATTCGGTCACAGCTTCAGTGCGGTGTTATGATCTTCTCGTCATGCTCTCCCTAGTGTCTGAGTCCGTGTTTGATTGGGTGCATCCGTGTCTGGTGGACATCCCTGGGCCCTTCTTGCAGTCAACTCCTGCCGGGTCTTCATGGTCTCGAGTCTCGAGTGCGCCAGACTCCGAACATTTGAGCTGGACATCGTGTGAAACGGTGCACGTTGCGGAAGCCCCCAAGCTCGCTCCCAAGCTTCGGGGCAGCTGGACTGGAGAAGGACTCGATCGGACTGGACAAACGGGGTGCACTCCCAATCATCACCCCAACACTCCATGCAACCACCAAACACACTCCATGCAACCACCAAACAACACACAAGCCTACGCGGGGCCTACGCGAAAATAGGTCGGTGGTTGGCAAAAAAAACCATGTGCCCCCATAGCTTCGACAAACAAACTTCAAACATCCACTGTAGCCATGCCATTACCCTTCATTTTCCTTGTGTTCCCCACTGGGATTTGCAAGCAAGTGTGAAGTTAAACAACTACAAACCAAACTTATCTTTCCCCAAGAGCCTTGAACAACTTTTAAGGACGTCTGAACAAGAAAATCAATGCTTTCATTAAAAGTGTGCCTACGCAAAGCTGCCTACGCACGTCTTTCAACACCCACCCACGCCCCAAGCAAAACAGCCTCCGCAACTTCTCAACAGTTCCCTTTTTGTACACACCTAATCATGTGCAAAATAAGAAGTGGCTCAACAGCTCCCAACGCGAAATGGCTCAAGAGAACTCAACATATTGCCAACGAAACCAAGTTCAGCAATGGCCAACTCGCATGTTCAAGCTTGAAGAAACAAAAGGATCTTCTAACCTTTGGGCTGACCATGGCGGATCCCTCTGCCTGGTGGTTTCATGTTTGGATCCCTTGGTGGCTCCCTCTTGATCCAGGTGGCTTGCCAAAAGCACCACTGCGCTGCGAACCATCGGCATGCATTCGGCGAACCTGGCGAACCATCCAGTGCCCCGAATCTGGGGGGTTCATCCCACGTGCTAGTTCCGGGCGCCCTTCAGAAAGACACATGAAATGCTTTCAAAAGAGTCAATAGCAAAGATCCTCAGTTCAATTGCCCCAAAACACTCCATTAAACTAATTGGAACTGGTTTCGGGGGGTCAATTTAATAATTTATTACATTTTATAACTATATAAGGTCTACCCAATTTCCAGTAACTAATGATAATGGAAATTATTCAGGTTGGTTAAGGCCTTGTTCCCAATAGTGATTTGCTTGTGGTCAGTTGAATCCAAGTCATCCCAGTGAGCCATTTTTTGCGTCATGAGAGCGACGACGACTCCGCCGTCACGGTGGTCGTCCGAGAGTCGACGTCGACGTCGACGTCGACGTCGAAGCGCCTAGGGCTCCAACCACCTGGTTGGGGTGGGTGCCAGGGGGGGTTATCTACCTGAGGATGCAGTTGGAGCCCTAGGGATAGATCGACATACTAGCCGCTAGCCCTAATCTGTAATGCATACCTGGACATAATCTATACTACATCTGAATAAGCCCACAACATCAGCACCCACCAAATCGATCACATCGATCACCTCGCCACATCATCGATCGTGCTGTGGCCCCGGACGGAGTGGGTGGCAATTGAAGCCAGTGACCCTCAGCGGGCACTTCCGGGCTTCCAGGGACTCGCCCGGCCAACAAAGCGCGCCAAAACTGGGCCTGGGCGGCGAAGTGGAGGGTGACGGAGATGGAGATGGAGGGTGACGGTGGGTGCTGAGAGAGGGAATGATGACCTCTTAAGGAACGAAACGCGGACACGCCCGGAGTGGTGAAGCGTATATTAGCGGTGTATGGAGAGGCTACAGTCTTTGTTTCTTTCTTTGCCGCTTGTTCAGGCTTTAGATTCATATAGATCATATAGACGGTACCAGGTGTACAATTCAGTGGAAGCTGCAAGAATTGGACCATACGTTGGTTCATGGTGGGCAACTTGTTTCAATCAAGTATGTAGTTTGTATTATTATTGATGTTTTGAAATGTGTTTCGTTTCTGGGTGTGCTTGGTAAACACAAGCTACACGATGCTACAGGCTACAGTGCTCCAAAAGGGGTGTTTGAACTGCGCCATCTACACGAATCTACCAGTACCAGTGACTGACTCTACAACGCGCCGCTACGATTAATTTGGAGTCCAATCACTGCAACGTTTCGTGCCCACCCATCAAATTCAAATCAAATGGTCTTCCGATGCACTTCACCAATCTGAAACGAGCAAAACTGGCCGACGGGTAGATACCCGGCATGCCTTGAGCCTGGTCGACCCGTTCTCCGCTTCGCCGCGCCTGCGCTGCCAGCTCCGCATGGGGTGCTTTTTGGATCACCGGCACGGCGTTCAGGAAGGAGACCCCCTCCTCGCTTTGTTTTTCGCAGCAGGACGGTCTCAAAAGCGCGGTTGGGCGGTGGGAAACCCTGCGGGTTCACCCGGCTTTTGGAGGTGGGCCCTGGGCGGTTGGGCGGTTCGTAAGGTCTGAATCCGGGTGACGAAGCTGCCGCTCGGTGTCTTGGAACATACCTAGACTATACCCTAGGCTTCCCTTCGACCATTCGAAGAAAGGTTAACTTGGTTGCGTAGTGTAAAATCCTCAAGTAAAACAATGGTGGTTCGGGAAACCTGTTAGGGCCCTTCCCAACCCTCCATTTTGGAGACCTGTTGGAAGGTGCTGGTGTATGCCACCCCATTGACCCCTCGACGCCCCTATGCATGCGTGGTTGTCCCTGCAGCGACTTCCGAGTCCACGTTCGCTCCTGCATGATGTGTGGCATGGTTTGCCCTGGGCATGTGCAGGTCCCTCACTGTTCTAAGGTAGAGACCTACACCAGAGATTAACGAACCTGGTTCACTTCCTCTACAGCCCAGTGGTTTTTAGGTTCATCTTCCAGGGCTTAGGCATTTTCGGCAAACCTGACCTGGTGCGATCTTTCCCCAAAGAGGGTGGTTTTGTGAGGTTTCGTCGTGAGGTTTCGTTGGGTGCTTAAGTGCTGTAATTCCTTCCTGCACCCCGTGGCACCGATCGCCTCCGACCGCGCCCGCGGAAGCTCTTCGACTCTTTTGGTGAACGCGCCGGTAGGCTCGGTGAGTGCCGGGTCGCGCGGCTTTTGCGGCGTTTGAACGGGAACTGGAGCTCGCGCTCCACGCGACTCCAGCCCGAAGCCGAAATGTTTCCTGCAGGAGGATTTTTGGATTTTGCTGAAGCGGCGAATGGACCCAATATGTGGCCAAACGTTTGGCTTCAGATCATGAATTCGTCTCAGCCTTTTTCACAGCCATTGATTCGTGTCGTTCGGATATTCTCATGTTCATAGGTTGTGACAGGCACGACCCAAATCGATTATCTAGAATCAAAACATCAAACAAATAGCTGGTTTTCTCCTTGAGTGGTACAGTGGTCGGCCAGTCAGCCCTGGGCGGCCCGCTCTGGGAAGGCCCTGGGGGAGTAAACAAGCCCTGGTGGGCTCCAACCACCCTCAGAAAGCCTCAGAAGGAGGTTGGAACCCCAAGCATCCTCGAAACAGAGCTAGGCCAGGAGTACTATATTTTATTCACACGCGGTCGACGAAGTCGAACGGCACATGGTGGCTCCGAGGTCGAGCGGCCATGCGTCAACAAGCAGCGCCTCAAAACCTCATCGAGGTCGCGCTAAGTCCCGGGAGTAGCGAACCGGCCAAGAGGCAGTAAAGCGTAAAAGATCATCCGAAACACGTCTGGAGATGTCACCACTCCAACCCATAAAAACACAAGGGAACCTCTTGAAGATTCGCAAGTGCGGACGTGCCATGTGGCAGGTGTCCAGACTGAGATTGAAGTGCCCACAAACAAGGTTGAACAACTCCGAGAAAGTCGAAAGCTGAGTCGCCAACGTCTGCCTAACAAGACCACCACAGGGCACTTCGTTCTGGGTCAAAAGTACCCCATCTTCGAAATGGTCTGGAAGGGGCAAATGGTTGCCATCAAGACAAAATCCCACCAAAAGCTCGAGAAGAGAAACATAAACCTTAACAGAAGAAGAGATGTCAACACAAGTGAGCCAGGAAACCAAATTGCCAACCACAGACTCTGAAAACTTGCCTAAACGAATTGAATGACTCAAGATCTCCGGGCCTAGTTGAGCGGCAAGGGAAGCGTCATTAGCTTCAGTGCCAGCTCCAAGGGTAGCTAAGGAGGCCTCCTCAGGAATGCTACACTCAGTAGGTCTCGACAGACTCAAATTCGCCAGATCTGTGAGGAAGGACAGCTGTGCACGGGTTGCGGTAAATGCCACCTCTTCAGCTGCGCAGTAAGCACTGTATGTGGCCATGAAGGCATCTGAGCGCAAATGGTTCTGCCATCTGGCCAACCGATCTGCAAAATCATTGCCTTTCTTGCACCAATCAGCTCGAGGTGAAGCACATTGATCCTCTTCCATGTGGGAGGAAATCTTCTGAAGTGTCACCTGCCCATGATCAAGCTGTTCAACCGTTTTGAGAGCTTGCTGCCAGAGACCCTGGTGTTTCCAACGAGGAGGGACATCCAAATGTTTCTGTAGATGCCGAAAGTTGTCCAAAGCATATTGGCTGTCAGAAAAAATGGTTGCCCGCGCACCAGTTCGCAGCACCCAAAGAAAAGCAGAATGAACCGCCATGGCCTCCGCCAAATCAATGGATTGAATCAGGCCCGGCACTGGACCTTGGGACAAGGTGCGCTGTGGCTCCAATGTAATGACTGACCATGCCGCTAGAGCTTGACTGGGCTTCTTCGGCGAAGAGCAACTGCCATCGGTGAAGATGAAGGTGTGCTCGGCCATCACCGTGAGGTCAAAGAAATCTTCACGACAGTCAGGTAGGCTCAACAGGGCTTGCCAATATTCCCAATGATGAGGATTGGCTGGATGGAGTCCATGGTGTGTGAAGGCCATTGATCGTTGCGACCACAGCCGGACCTCCGCCGGGTATCGTCTACGCACTTGATGATAGTAAGGACAATGTAGCGCTCTATGGGCAACTGTGTCAGGTTGTTGGCAAGAAGCACAAAGGCCCGAATGCTGATCATCAAAGTGCGCTTTAGCATGCGACGTGAAGAAGGTGCCATCTTGAATCGTGGCCAAAAGCTCAGCAGCATCCCTTTGGGGGAAAACCAAAGAGCGAAAAGAAGCAGCCCAATGAATGGAGTGCAGGCCGGCAAAGTCTTTCCGATGACGTACTTTAAGACATACTTTCTGGTGCCAACTATACTGTAAAAGAAGCTGGAGACATTCGAGAGAAAGCGTCCAAAAGTTGATGCGCAAGTGCTGAATCCACAGACATAGCTGAGCATCAAGGTGCCAGTCCAGGTAGCCAAGACACTGCACAACCACATGCAGAGGACCTTGACTTCGGAACCCCGGATTATCACCAGACTGTAACCATAGCTCCAAGATCAACGGAAATTGATGCACCATACGCCAAAAGGTGGAAAGAACCTGCCAAAGTTGTTGATACTCTGGATCCATTTGAGGCAACTGCATGAGCGACCAACGAACATGAGGGCTGGCACCAGCTCTATCCCAATGTAATGCTCGCATGGCAGCAGAGCGAAGTTGATCAATAGCGGCCACTGGTAAGAGACGATTTGCCACACCATGTAACACTTTGGGCCAGGTGATAGTGCGTATAGCAACAAGCTTGGCCCACCGCGGCGCAGAAGAATGCCGAAGGATACGCCAATGATCTGCCACTGCGCCGATTCTGCTTTGAGCCACCTGTGTTCTAGAGACTCGGGAGTAGGTCATCTGAGCGCCAAGGTCTTTCGCCGCCAGCTTGGTGGCATAGCCCAGGTTGCGTAGGGCACGTCTGGAGTCAGGCGTCGTAGCCCATGCAAAGCACTTCCCAGGATCAAGACAAATGTCCCAGGAGTCCATGAAGACCTGCAGGACGTTGATGCCATGACAAAGCTCACCTAGTGCCGATGCAACGAGCTGAATGTTGTCCACGAAAACCGGACAAGCCACTCCAGCGCTATAGATCTTGAGATACGTGTCCAAAGCCGTATTGAAGGCCAGCATGGCAATGCAACTGAGTGGATCCCCTTCAGGGAAGCCGGTACTGGAGAGAAGAGCATCTTCAGTATGGCTGGCGATCCTGAAACGTCGCTGCAGCTGCGTGAGTGCTTGATTCCAGGCTTTCGCACAGTCAGTGGGGAAGCCCATGAGCTGAAGGAGCAGGAGGATGGGAGCTCTTGGCAGCGTGTTGAAGCATTTGACCAGGTCAGCATTATACCCCAGCAACTCAGACTGCATGGTGTAAGAAGACTGAATGAGTGTCTGGAGAAGAAACCAAACGTCCTCTGCTCTGCGTCCTGGCACGTAACCAAACACCAAGGTTGGGATGATCTTGGTGAGGTAAGGAAGGTAGGCCCTACAAATGCCTGTCGCCCAAAGCCGGTACAGGAAGGAGATGAGGACGATGGGGCGATAGTGCTTAGCCTGGTCGGCTATAGGTGTCTTCCGGATGGGGATGACAAAGCCGGTGACAAGCTGTTGCGGCCAATCAGCGCCCTCCTGGATCTTGTGGAACATGTTGACCAAATCAGCTTGCTTGTGAGCAGGCAAGTGGGCGATGTCATCACGAGACCAGGCATCAGGACCACGTGTAATCCGTTTGCGATAATGGGAGGTCAAATACGCAAACTGCGAGGAAGTCCATTGAAATGCCAATGGAGGCAGCTTTGGCATGTAACGCAGCCCAAAAGCGACAATGCGATTCCAGTGTGAAAGAGCCAGGCCAGAATGCTTTTGCCAAATGGGTGTCCACAGGTTGGCGAGCTCAGATTCAATGGCCTGGAAGGTGTTGCACTGCGTACGAACCACGACTGTTTGCCCAGGAGCTGAGAGCAGGTCACTGTTCAGGTAGTAGTCGTCACCTTGCTGCTGTTGGAGCTCAGCAGGCTCAAGATTGAGCGTAATGCTCTGATCCCCTTGCAGGTGAAGATGGCATGAAAGACGAACTGAGTGATCATTGTTGACTTGCAAGATCTGGGCCTGCTCTTCCTTGACAAGGTGAGTGATGGGCAGGTAGTCTCCTTGCTTGAGCTGCTTGGTGAGAACTTGATTGTGATGAAGATGCCGAGCTTGGACAAGATCATGCCTGCGACGAAAGTGCCAGGATTCGAATTGCCTGAAGTTGGCCTCAAAGTCGTGAAGGAGGATCTGCGCAATGGCATGCGAAGGCGGCCACTCCGGAAAGGAAGGGGGTGACCCAACGTGCTGAATGGGACGACGCAGCCACCACCGTCGAAATCCATCGCGAAATCCATGAGCATGAATGATGGCTCGCCAGGTGGACATCTGGTCAACTTGAAGGTGCCAGTGAGTGGTAGCAGTGGCTCGCTGACAGTAAGCCTGGAGTCGCCGAAGCTGTCGACACCAAAGATGAACTGCTCGGCAGAGAAAGCCGCTTTTGGGTTGAAAATCTCCATGTCGACCTTGTCGAACCGGTACAAGCTGAACCGGCCTCGCACGGGTGTTAAGAGTTTGTCCTCTGCCCCAACAACCTGACGGTAAGTCAATAGTGGCGGTGGTGCGGAGGGCCTGTTCTGTGGCTCTGGACCAGTGAACGAAAGACTGAGACATGTTCATGGTGTCCCAGTGATGGGCAGCAGAATCTGGTAGTCGATCAGGGCGAAGATGCTGCCAAGGAAGATTGGATGGCATAGGCCAGTGCTGGTGCCACCAACGTGATTCAGGAAGACGAAAGCGGCCATAGAGAATGGCATGGTCAGCAAAGTGCTCCGAGTCCACGTGCACCTCAAGGAGCCATTGTTGAAGTTCTGGAGAAAGCCATAGATGATCGCGAATTGCCTTGCCCTTGGAAGTGGGAAGCCGATGCTGGGAGAAGCGCTTTTCTGCCAAGTGTTGGATCTCTTCCCAACCGGCCAGTCTCCATGTAGTGAAGACCTGAAGGTCCTCGGTATCACAGTTGAAGTCACCAGCAATGAAACGTGGACCGTGAGAGGAGAGCACAAGCTCTGCGGTAAGCTGCTCTAGGAGCTGAGAAGAAAGCTGTTTAGCATTCCGATATGTGGGTCCAGCAGGTGGTGCATAGACACTTGCTCCAAGGAGCGTGTGCTCATGCAGGGCAAAACTGGAGAGCATGATCCGACCAGATTGATAGGAGGCACCCTGCCATTGAAGAGGAACAGGATGAATGGGTCCCGGAGAGATCTGTGCCACTCCCGTCCACGAGCCCGCAAAGTCAGAGTGAGGCCTAAAGGGAGCAAAATGCCCATGCTTGCAATGAAGTTTGTATTGCGTCATCCAGTTCAGTTCACGCTGAAAGCGAGCAAAAACGGGTTGACTTGCCTGAGTTTCTGCCACATTCCATATTCCCCATGGAAGCGAAGCGAATGCAAGTGCCTTGCCATTGATGCCACTAGGATTGGCAGTTCCCACCACCAAACAAGGGGCAGAAGCAGCGTGCTCATCATCTGTGCTGACATCAATGGAGGAGCCACAGACCGGGTTCAGGCGAGGAAAGCCCCAATCCTCGTCTGAAGCCACCGTAGTGCGGGAGCTGTGGAAGGCCGTAGGGCCAGGATTGCTGGCTTCACCAAGTCGGAAGCCACCCCAAAGCAGAAGTAACCAAAGAAAAGAACGGCAGGAGCGCCGTGGAGAGCGGGACAGCCAAGAAGGCCCCCGCTGCCCTAGTCAATCCGAGGTGCGATGTCGCTTGCTGAGAAGCGACTCCATGCTTTCCAACTGCCGGGCCATTGAGGCTTCCAAATCATTTTGAAAATCCTGGCGAAGCTTGCCCACCGATTGATGCAACTGCTCGGTCCGCTGGTCTGTGCGCGTGACCTTGTTGGTCAGCTCAACCAATTGACCCTCCTGTGAGGACACCTGCTTGGAAAGCGCCTGCATGCGTTCACCAGCTTCAGCGAACCAGCCAGCAAACTGCGTGGATTGTGCTTGCAACTCAGTGATGCTGGCCTCCATTTGCGAAAGACGAGAGTCATCTGTGTCCATGTAGGAGTCGGAGAAAGAGCGAAGCTGTTCCCGAACTTGTTCTGCCACTGACGTCTGAAGCTGCTGTGAAATCTCATCCAGCTTGGAGGAAGCTGGCGGAGCAGAGGAAGCCGGAACTGAGTGAAGCGCAGTGGCCCATGGATCCCGGACCTGCAGGGGGTCCTCACCCAAAGGAGCTTGAAGCCTTTGCAGGGTTTGCAGAGAACCCATCACTTGAGGAGGAGCACGACTTTTGAGAATCGCAACAGGGGTGATGATGAGCGATGCTGAACCGAGTTGCAGAATTGGTGAGGAGAAAGCAGCCTCTGCCCCAATTAGCCAGTAACGACCTTCAGGAGTGCCATGAGTGGGCCGTAATGGCCGAGCTTGCCATCCAGCTGCTTGCAAGGACTGGGCAATTGATTGCTTGGTGGAGCCATATGGCCAAGGACCAACTTCAAACTGAAGAGCATTGCTGCCTGCAACAAAAGGGAGCTTTGGAAGAGCAACCTTGTGCACTGCTTCTTGATCAGTAGCCAGGCAGCGAAGTCCGTAGCGTTGATGAGAACGAACAACATGCAAAGCTTTGGCCGTCTGACATTTGGTGTGTATGGCCTGCTGCAGATCACCTTTGATCCAAATCACGGCATACTTGGTGCTTGGCCCTTTAGATACTGGTTCACGTAGTTCAGTGTAGAGTCCATCCGTGGCGGAGATAGCCAGAATGGCAGGAGCAGCTGAAGGAGGAACTCGGACCATGATGCCAAAGGACGCAGCTTTCTTGGAGTTGGCCGCAGCTCCAGTAGCATCGCACCACTTCCATCCAAAAGCATCAAGGATGACCATGTCGATCTCCTCCTCTAAAGCCGGGTGAAAGCGCTTGCAACTGGAAGCATTGTTGCAAGTGGAGCCATCGCAGAACTGAAGACACTCGAAATGTTGCACAAGCGCCTTGAGAGGTCTGCCAATGAAGTCTGTCCAGGAGTGTGGCCATTGATCTTGGTAAACCTGAAGCTTGAAGAGCTCAGGGACGAAGGTGGCAGGACTTGGCTCCGGTCCCAAAACCTTCTTTGCCATGTGATCTCCAAGCTGTATACAGGATCCACGAATCAAAATGGGATCGGCACTGTCGGCGAGCAGTGCTGGCCAGACCATGTGCTGGACAGTGAGCTTCCCATGCATAGTGCTCGGAATTTCTGTCGTTGTGAGCATGGCGAGCGAATTGATCGATATGGTCTTCTGACCTCTCAAGAAATTGGCAGCTTGCTCCACGGTACCCAAAATGATGCCATTGGATTCAGGTGTCACTTTGTCGAGCTGAAGCTGTGGGAGTTCGTGATCATGTTCATCCACAAAGGATTTGGGAGCCAAGATCAGTGCATTTGGAGACACTGGCGGTGCCGGTTCAGCTCGCTTCTTGGAGGGCTTTTTGGACGGACCGGATGCGGCACCGTGGTGCTCCTTGGCCCTCTGTTGGATGTGATTCATCAGCTCGTTGTGTTGGATCCACTGAAAAGGCCGTTGCTGGGCGTTTGCCAACTGCTTCAGTGCTGACCATGGGTTGGCCTGGGAAATGGCCTTGGCGATGGGTGCATGGCCAAGCTTCTTCAAAGCCAAGGTGGCGCGGGCTGGAGAATCAGCTTCAGGAACTCCCTTAGTGATAAGGAATTTGCATAGCCAAGCATGTGTCTGAGAGTACTCGGCAGGCCCACAACCCTGAAGCTCCTCCTGAGACTTGAGCGAGTCAGTCCAGTCCTGTAGTGCATCCACGGTCATGGCCGACCAAAGATTGAAGAAGATGCCCACATTGTGAAGCAAGACAGCTGCACAATAGTCGCCATCCAGCTGTTCCAGCGGAGTCCTCTGACGAAGCTTTGGAGTGGCCATGCTGAAAGCAAGGGCAACGGTTGAAACCACCGAGGTCACCAAATCCAAGTGAAAGTCTGGAAGTCCATCAAGGTAGTGAAATTCCATGAGCGAGAAGTCCAAGATGAGGAGACTCCAATGAGACTTCGCCAGAAGTGGAAAGATGAGCCAGGTAAAGGGTGTACTGTGCTCGTTGAGGAGAAGCTTGGATGCAAAGCTGGCTGGCCGGTTGATGAGCAACTGAATGATGTGGTGAGGAACAACCTGCACGGCATCCAGGATGTGCGATGGCAGAAGTTGGAGGATGGTGTGAAGTTCACCATAGAGTTCATGATGATGCACTCCAGTGGCTGAGGGAGATGCCCTGCCAAGTCCACGAACTTCTCCTTGCTCACTTTGCCACAGAGCATCACCCCATCGATAGCTGCGGAATAAGTTGCTGAACTCAATGCCATGCTTGTAGCTGAAGCCAAGGGATTCAAGAACTGATGACAAACGAGTTCCTGCTGGTCCATGAAAGTCATACTCAGTAATGCCATCGTGCAGCTTGACTGAGATGAAGTCCGTCGGAGCTGGCCGAGAGTGTCTAGGCTGCGTGACAACCACATCGTAGGAACCTCCTCGCAAGAGAGCATTGGGAAGCTGTGGGATGCCATCCCGAAAAAGAGTGACACGATGAGCCCAACCCAAAAGTTGTTGGTGTGCATGAAGAAACTGCTGCGCCGATGTCATGGGGTCAAGCAAGCACGAAAAGCTGGAATCAGCCTCCTTGAAGCATACCTCCTGTGGATGTCGGTGCTCACATGTAGGCCAGAGCTGCTTGCAGACCTCAAGGTTGTTGTTGATGTAAGCAAGAAGCACTTCCTGAGGATTGGAGAAGTTCAAGGGCCAAGAACCAAATCCATGCTCTTGCAATTGATGTAGAACATGCAAGAGAACCCACATGGTCTGTAGTGGAGCAGCTGTCTGACCAATGAGAGGCAGATCACTCCTCGCCTGCTCTAAGTTGTAGATGAAATCAGCCGGAAGACTGCACAGATAACCCGCCTCACATGGGTGTAAATGCCGATAATGCTGAGCTGAAAAGGTGGATGGAAGCATCGTGAGAGCCACACCATCTCGCAAAAGCCGCTCATGGCTCAATCCCTGATGCCGACAGCCACAAGGGCATGCATATAGATGATGTCCAAGGCTGTGAAGAAGAGTAGGGCAGGATCCTGACTGTCGCAATTCATGGTTCTCCAACACCAGGGTCGATGCATAGAAGTCTTCCTCTTCAGGCGTCCATGATAGGGCTTCCTCTTCAGCTCTGGACCAAAACGGCCAAGAAGGCAGAATGTCACCAACTGTTTGTAGGTGAGGAAACCTGGGCAAAGAGGGCAAGATGACATTGTTGGGAACTGCCTCTGCTGGAATGAGATAACACCACCAACGAGTCCTTTGACATGGCCAGACATCGGAGAGCTTGAGAATCTGCTGTCTGCACTCAAAGTTCATGGCTCTCGCAAAGGAACATAGAAGATCTTGAACTTGTTGATACTTGCCAGTGGTAGGCGTGCATTCCAAGATCACATAGGCGGAGTTGAAGAGGAATGCAGCGTTCAAAGCCGCCACAAACACTTCAGATCTACTATCCCCAAAGGCCTTTTGATCACACATCACACTAAAGGGGGGACACGGAAATCCACAGAGGAGCCCAACTTTGACCCCCTTCATCAAAGAAAAAAGACGTGCCAAATCGTCAGGGTTGCAAATGTCCCCTTCCAAAACAAGGCTGTCATGATTTCTCCTGCAAGCTGCGATGGCCAAAGGAGAGAGGTCCATGCATGCCATACTCTTCAAACCCAAGGCACTAGCAGCGGCAGACATGCCTCCAAGCCCTGAACACAGCTCGATGATCTGATCTGCCAAGAAGCCTCCAAGGCGCACGACCCGAGTAGCAGGGATCTGCTCCAACCTCAGATCTATTCCACCATCACCAGCAGTGATCCAGCCATTGAAAATGGAAAGATCTTCGCCAGTCACAAAGCCGTGATTCTTCCACTCGATCCTCAGTCCACGAACCTTGGTGGCCACCTGGGTGGGTGAAGTCACCTGCACACGGAGACTCGCCAGGCAAGGCGCCTGAAAGGTCTCCAACCAACACGGATGCGCCATCCCACGGAACCGACGGGCCTTCGTCGAACAAGCCTACCCCTGGAAGGTTGAGCCCACAGCTTCCAGGAGTACTATAAAACGCTTGCACAAGTGATTTGTGAAACATGACCTCTTGACACCTTGACCAATGGCTAAACAATCCCACCTTCCTTCAACCCAAAGTTTGTCAGTGACCCTTTCAGGTTGCTTTGGGAGACGGTATTAATATATCTATCTGCAAGCAAATTGCCTTCCCAGATTTCAATTCCTCAAAGTAGTATAACTATAACCCTTCCCAGATTAGTACCCCCCATTGTTCGTAGATGAACATCCTCTTCCTTTGATGGTTTCGGGGTGTGAACAACGTCCTGCTCGTTCGTGTAGCGAACCCCGTGCTCCACCCACCCGTTTCGAAGCGAACCAGTTTCCCCGATGTGGGCGCTGTGTGGAGGGATTCCCCTCGTCCAACGTGTGGACGTCCCAACGTCGTCATGCGCAGCGTGCCCATCAACACAACCGTGGCCCATCTCAGAATCCACAGCGTGCGACCCCGAATCCAACTATACTCCCTGACTGGCCTGGCCGTGGAGGGAAAACGGCCACTGAAGACTCGGATGACCATGGAACCTGTTTTTTATGGCCCACATGGGCCTGAGATATCTAGATTAGATCGTGTGGTTCTCCAAATGAAGGTTTTTGTCCATCAACACCTCCATGAACCAGGCTGTTTTGAAAGCGCTTGTGCTGGGCCATTTTCAGCAAAATCAGAGGGCACCTCCGCGGTTTGAGCAGCACCATCCCTTTTGAAAACCCACGGGGCAGGGGAAGGAACCAATCCTGTGCACTTGGACATTGTGCAGGAATGACGTCGTTGCATGCGGTTCGTGGTATGTAGCGGGCTCAAAGAAAAGAAGTCAAACATCCGAAGATGAAAGCCCTAGACCATCTTGGAACCGGGATTTAACGAATCTTTAACCACATACAACACCTCTTTAATTTGCAAACATGTGTTCACCAGTTTGTGTCATATCCATAGTCGGTCAGTAGGCTAGCCAGCCAACAAACTAAAGCATACACCACCTCCCTGCAACAATCATGGAAGTGGACAATGGTCCCAAGAAAGGGCTTCCCAAATTCCGTGTTAGTTCCAAGGGAGAGTGGAACATAGTGGAACCATGTTTCTTGGCAGGGAGGGTATACTTTCCACTGCCAACTCCCCTAAGAACCAGGAGACACCTTCCATCGGTCGTTTTGGGTGGGTCTATCCATCGATCGCCAAGCTGTCGATCAACATTTCTAGGACCCTAGGACCAACATGCTCGCAAAGGGGGCCCTTACCTCGCAATTGTTTCTTGTCTGGACCGTGAATAATGTTGCAACATGGTGCAACTACAAATCGGGAATTCAGCAAAAACAAAAGACATCGGGCTAAAACATCATCCAACATTGAAATTCATCAGGTTGACCCAAGAAAAAATGTCTCGAAACGAAACCGCAGGGTTGTATGTTGCTGTGTGCTACGTGCTTCTGTTTGAAGGAAATGTCCGAGCATGCACCGAGTAAGTAGGATGGCCACCGCCTATTTAAACGTTCATTCCTGAGCTGTACAACTGCAGGCAATTATAAAATGCGCAAGCCGCTTGCGCCTGTATGGTCTGGGAACAGCATCAAAATACATCATTCGATCATATTCGATCGCTGTTATGATTTCATCGGCCGTCCATTCTTTTGGGGACATGGGTGTTCGGAATATGTCATTCAATTTGGCCTGACCAGCAGTTTTTCCGGCACTTTCCTGGCAAAGCTTCTGCCCTGAGCTCAAACCAACAATCCGTCAGACCGCCAGACCCGACGACCGGACCCGGTGACGGGGGGAACCCCAATGCGGTGACCAGCAAGCAGAACGCCCGGTGCACGAAGGCCCTTGCTTTAAGATAGTAAGATGAAGAGGATGAACCCACTCCGCCCAGGCCGGTGACGGATCTTTTGGAATGGGGAGAGACCCCCGAGACCGTCTCGGTTGGCCACACGAAAGCGCGTTTCAAACGATGAAGATGATCATCCAGATACGATGACATCAAGATCCTATCACCTACCCTAAAACCAGGGGGGAAATAGCTTGAAAGGCACTGTGACAGGGCCAACACTACACCGGATCCGGTCAGTCGAGCATGTTGAACAGTTAGGCCACCTGAACAATAAAGGAGGCCACTGGTTTTAGGCTAACAATGGCTGACATGATAGCACTGCGCAGCTTTGCGCTGCGAAGTAACCAAGAAATCAGGAAACGGTTTGGAATTCGAGGTGAGTCGCTACAAAGTCTAATTATCGTTTGTTTGTGGGTCACTACAAATAAAAGGAAATGAGGACCGCCGCACTTGAGCTTTGATCTTCAGGCCACGGCTACTCCTTGCCTTCTCCTTGCGAGTCCAATCCAGTGGACCACCTCTGCTCCCGTTCCGACCATATTCTGCCGGTCAACTCGACATCCTTTGGATGTCCTTAGATGGGGCAAGGTAAGCAGGAGACAGCCGAGAGGGTCTCATATAGCCTTCTGATTGGATTGGAACCATCGATGGCCAAATGGTTCACTGTTGATTCACACCTCCCGCAGCATCGATGTAAAAAGCCATCTCCCGAGATGTGTTCCGAGTTGGACGTGTTGCACGACACAACGACACAACGTCAGGGCATCGTCTCGATGGGGGAAACCCATGGTCAGGTCGTTGCAGGTCCCCAAGCATCGAATCGAACAGCAGTGCTACGAGTAGTCCTCTTCTTACGTCAAGTGAACACGCCGTAAGTCTTGCAGTCAAATCCAACACATGTCACATGATTCCTCGAATCCGCACAGGGGCTTCCACTCACGGCAAGCCAAACATCCTTCAATCAGGCCGCTGTGCAAGCCAGGCTTTCAAGTCCGGTATCACTGCTAAAAACCACCAATGGTAGATGTTGTGCATTTTTTTGTCCGCCACAAGGCCACCAATCATGTGAAGAAAAGGGGATCTGCCATCCTGGAACACATATCTGTTGCAAACCAGGAATGTTTCTCAGGTCAGCCATCTTTTTGGGGTAGTGTTTTGTGTCTGTTTACATGGGTTCCCTCCGCCTGTCTCGGGGTCATTCAGCTGCGGAATTTCCAGCCCAGGTGCGGATGATTTTTTGTCCTTCGGAGTAGGTGAGACCTGAGTTTGAGAAGACGCTTGGACATGCCATATGTCTGAACCCCGCAGCCTGAAAGTTATTATCGTTGACCCTAATAACAAGCGGTATTAACAAATTCACAAGACTATACTGACATATAAACGCTGGAAGTCCGAGACCCTTCTTAGAAAGGTTGATCTGCTTTTGTAGTGCAAAATCATGCAAAATCCTTAGCAAAACATATTACAGACTATTAAACTCATGGTGCTTGGGCTCCTAGGGTACATGTTATATTGCTGGCCTGGGGCACATCCCCCGCGTCCGGTGTGGCCAACGGATGAACCACCAGTTGAACTACAAATGAACGCTTCATCAATGAGGGCTATTACACAGCGAACTGGTGGGGGCCGCCCCACAAATTTACCTCTCATGTTTGCAACTTGACGTATCCGTGCTTCCAACCCACCAAAATCAACATGATCCCTTCAAATCAACGGAAAACAGCCAATCTCCATCTGTCCAGGCACAAAGTATTAGACACTGTGAGCTTCCTCGCCGCTCTAAAAATTCAACCTCGCTGCAGCGGTTACACCTAAGCACTCGAGGGGAGGCGCCGCTCAACTGTTTGGTGGTCGTTCGCAACTGAAATATTCACCAATGACAGGAAGGCTTGTCAAGTCAACCATTCTCTTGAGAGATAACCAGCTACAGTAGAAACATGTGCATGCTGCTGCACTCTACCACAACTCTTGGCACAATGCCAAGGAGTAAGTTAAAATTAACTCATAAATCAGCTCAAAATTCAAAGCGCACACTTGGTGCGGTAGGTGGCCAAATGGCTCTTTTCAGGTGGACCACTTTATCCAGAAGTCGACGTCGCCCCCCCACACCTTCCATTACCTTCCAACCCACCCGACGCATTTTTGACGTGTCATCTTCCCTCCCAGCAGCCCGGCGGCTGTCATATGATCCGTGGATTGCAACTCCTCGACCTGTTTCGGTGAAACTCGGTGCGCAACGAAGGACGGCAGGTGTTCTCGAACACGTCGAGGGTTTTGGTTCAGGGTGAGGGCAGTGTGTTCAGATTGGGGAAAGCCTGGTCGAAGAAGTGTGAACATTACTCAAGTATTTTGAAGCAGAGTTTAACTGTTCATAGTTTCTTGACCATTTTAAACTTGGGATACATGTGAAACATGTGTGAAGAAGATTCCGATCTCAACTTCTCAACTGTTGCATCGTTGTGTCCTTGGACTACACATTCAATTAAATCAACATCGTTGGTCATCCACAGTCCGAGTTCACTGCCGCAGCTGTTTCGTGCTCTCGGTGCTGAAAGAGGCGGCTGGTTGGGGGTGTCGATGAAGCCCAAGGTCCAAAGCAAACTGGAGACGCTCTATCAACCGGAGAATGGCCCCTTTGAATTGTCGTCTTTTCTTTGAAGTGGTTTCAGAGAAGATGGTTCAATCCCCAACATAGGTGGTTTAGAAGGACACCCAAAGGCATCTTTGGGTGTGCACCATCTACTCTGAAACCACCGTCCTGTGTCTTGGAAGCTCTGCTTTTTAGAGGGGCACTAGGTACGGTTGAAAAGTCGAAGACTGCGGAAAAGACTGGTCCGAGCGAGCAACAACACCGTCAGCCCGAGAGAGTTCAAGCAAAGGAGGGTCCGGATCGAAGGTCTGGATCGAGGGTGTTGTAGTTGGACCGAAACCAAAGAGAGGTTGAGGTTACCAAGGTTCACTTCCAACAAAGGTTGAAGAACCCTATAGGCTATCCCAGTTCGGTACCCCAGGTGACGGGTCCTATTTACGGTCACTTGACCTCTCTTAGTTGTAACGGGTTTACGATCTTGTTACAGCAAGACTTCTGAGTCGGCAGCCTTCGAGGGAACAATGGAAAAACGTGTATCTAAATAAATTATTCATTGCTTGTGGATGCGAACATGTTCTTGTAACTCTGCAAGGTATATCGTACATACTGTAATAATTTAAATATATATTAAGTTATATATAATATAAAACGTGGCCTTGTGAGCAAGCATCTCAAATATCCTAAGTCAGGAGGAGTATCCAATACGGCGTTGAAACGTCCCATTCTGCATAGATCCCTCAACGCATCGATGGATCGAAAAACCCTCAAATAAAAACACCTCCAAAGCATTCCAAATGTGGGAAGCATGTCACGATCATGCATCATCATGCTCTAAAGGCTTTCTGCAAAGACCAGCGTCACTCACATCCACCTCCAGTTCATGTAAATCGTAAATCCAACTATCCACCACTCTCCCACTCCGCTTCTTCCCATCTATCAATCTCCTCCCAATCTCCCAACAGAGGTTGAAGAACCCTATAGGCTATCCCAGTTCGGTACCCCAGTAGGGTCCTATTTCCGGTCACTTGACCTCTCTTGGATCCCGTCCCTCCAACACCGACGCCACGGGTTCCGTTCCGCTCCCCTTCCGCGAGACAGCGCCTCGTCACCTCGACCTGCTCGGCCTCGCGCTCCTTCTCGGGGTTCGAGGAGCGGCGTTCGCGGAACTCCGTCGAGGCCAGGCCAATTGAGGCCCCGGGCGGGCCTCGGCATGACGGACGCGGATCTGGAGGAGCCGCGAGCGGCTTGGCCTCCACAAGGTGTTTTTGCGGTGTTTCTTTTTTTTAAAAGGACATTGGAGGAGTCGATGCGGTCTGTTACAACTGGTGGTTGTTCACGTGGGGGTATCTATTAATCAACAGGCCCGGATCTAATTATAATGTTGTTTTCTTTTGGTTTATGTGATTTCTTTTGTTTTTGGTGCTGGGATGGGTGGAAAGCAGATTTTGTGGCAGGTGCAGCCCTTTGTGAACTTCGGAGTGCTGACACGCCGGAATGGCCCCTTCCTTCTCTAAACTTCACCCTCATCTGGCAACAGGTGTACTACATTGGAATGGCCTCTTTCTGCTCTAACTGGGTGGCTCTTCTAAATTTGACCTTTGGGTGGCCAACAAATGGCATTATAGATTTTAATGATCCTTTCCTCCTCTAAATTTTGCCTGAGGGTGGGTCACACGGTCATGCTAAGTTTGAACCTCTCACAAAGGTATGCCGTGCGGGTCACAAAAGTATGCCACGTGTTCATGGCTCCTTCCTTCTGAAAAACAATCCCCTTCCAACTATTTCCAAACTGTTGCATTGCTCGCATTCCTGAAGGAAAAGGCCACTTTACCAGACCCAGAAAGCGCACAACCGAGGAAATGCATTGTAAAGTGCAACTTATTTGTTCTATACATATTCCTTTTTTCATCTCCTTTGTTGGTTTGTCTTGCTTATTTTTGGGGGGGGAGGGTCTGAGGCATGGCATGACGATTTTTCCTTTTGGGGGCGGGGGGGTATTTTTGTTGGGGATGGGCCTATGGGGCGTTATGGGGCGTGGGTTCTTCACGTGATGCAAGACCTCAAGACCCTGGGAAGCTGGGAGGCGAGTCTGGAGAGAGAGTGCCGAAGGTCTGTCCCTCATCAAACCTTCCCTCCTTCCTTCCTTCCTTCCTTCCTTCCTTCCTTCCCTCTCCCTTGAGTACCAGACAGGAGAAATAAAAGCAAACACATATCCTTAACAAAAAAAACACCCTTAATCAGCCAACCAATAAAACATAATAGCTATGTGACTCCATTTGGGACAAGTCATTTGAGTCATGCATGCTCCTGCATTTCTCGAGTGTCCTGCAGTCACCCAAAGGTGTGCACACGTGTGAAACTCAACTGGCTGGTGAAGCTGCTCTCCGCTGGGAGGCGGAGCTTCCGCACCTTCTGAAACCAAATCCATCCCGACAGATTCCCGTCCCCATGCCTCACTGCTCTAAGGAACACATCAGCCGATGGGTCGCCGTCTGTCGCCCTGCCAGCATTTCCTCTCCTCCCCCATCGCCAAGGCACTAAAGACTCCAATGGGTGTCCGCACCAAGCGTCGCGCTGGACGCGTGTGGTCGTGGCTTTGCCGCGAGGCCCGTGACGCCGTCCGTGACTCGTTCCCGAGTGCGGCGCTGGTGGTGGGATGCTCGAAGGAGGAAGACCTGCAGTCGAGAGACCACAGGGGTCGCACCGGTGGTACAGTCGAGATATCCCAGACACGACTAATGGGACTGCCATAGGACTGCCGATCAGTTGGGGTGGTGCCAGGGGGGTCAATGGGGAGGTATATATGGTATACATGCAGTGTCTGGGTATGGATCATAAATTGTTTGATTTATCTTTCGGGTGGCTTTTCCAGGTGTTTATCCTTGGTGAGAGTTGATCCACAAGTTTCATGGCTCAGGTTCAGCCATGTGCTTGGGACCGCATGCAAAGCAGGTCCAAGCACTGCAAATTAGCTGGTCCAAACATTGGGATGCAACCAATCTATTCAACTCTCAATTAACCAACATTACCAGAACCTATCATCATATTATAAATCAAAATGCTCTTCATAAATGATTCAACCAACATTCAATCCAGTTCATGAGTCAAACTACAAGTATACTGTCCGTTCTACTTGCAGGGCTGTTGTGATGCACTATCGTTGATCATGCAAACATATGTACACACCCAAATTCCACACCTTCCATGTATGTGTCCATGCGTTCTGGTTCAGTGATTGAAGCGCGCATTCCGGATCATTGTGGCCTCCTTCGGTCGCCGCTTCGAAGGCTCCATTCACTTTGGGTGACACGTCTCCTTTTGTTGTTTGGCCATGCTCCACGTGGACCCTCCCTGTTTCATCCTCGGAGTGTGCCATGCCTATGGCTGGGCACGGCTTGGATGCCCATCCGCCCGTGCCGCACACTGATCCGCGGCCGCGTCCGCGGCAGAAAGGCGTTGGGCGTCGTCATCGCGTCGTCGCCCCTCGGCAGGATGCTGCGTTGGGCGGTCGCAACGGATGTTCGGAGCTCGGGTCATCTGCTCAGGTTCAGCATGTTTCAGCCGTGTTCTGTGGATTCTGTGGGTTTGGGTGTGTGAAGGAAGTTCACAAAAAGTAGTTGAACCAAGACTTCTGAGTATACATGGTCCTCTAAGCAGGTTTATTTTCTCTTCGAGCATGAGAATTTGTCAAGAGATTATGAAAAATACCTCCAGGCTTGCGCGTGAGCAACGATGGTGGACAGCTTCAGGGAACTGCCACAGATTCATGTGGTTCACTCATCTCATGAGTAGATACCCTAGAAGAATGCTCCAGTAGCCCAAATCAAGAAAGGCCATGTAAAGCCAGTGCTGTTCCCTGGAGTGGCATATTCCAAACTGAAATTGTATCAACCCCGGAATCCAATCTACTAAAGCTGATATGTGAGATCGAGATCTGAGCTATGACGACCTGGAGAAACCAGGCACATGGGGGCACACACACACACACTCTCTCTCTCTCTCTCTTTCTCTCCTTCCTCTCTCGAACAAGCTCCTAATGGAGTAGAATATCTCCGTATTTGTGAGGAAAATCGCCTTCCAAGTGACAACTTTCCACTTCTATGCTTGTTGCATGAGGGGTGCCGCTGACGGGTCTTTCAACCACCGATTCCCGCTGACGGGCGCGTGGCAGCACGCACGCTATTTGTTGCGCGCAAACGACGGATCGCGCACTTCGGGCCAGTGACAAAGATTGGCTCGATCCCCGCGAGCACTCGCTGACCCCCTCGCGAGTGCTTCCGGGCGGAGGCCGCGGCTTCCGCGGCCACGATGGACTGAGTTCGATCCGGCTCCGATATCCTAAGGTGTGCCAGGGGTGGGTGTGAGGGGCCTATCCGATGTCATTCCATGCATGCTTGGGCCTTCCATGGCAGGGGTCGGACCCGACACCTTCGCAGGGGTCGGGACCCGAACCAAACCCTATAGTATTTGAATGTATTTGAGGGTCCGGATTCTTAGGGATATATTAAAGAAAGGCTCGGTGGTACTGTCGGTGGTATAACTATTCCATACATGGACGGTCTGGGAAGGGTACTCGACGGATCCGGCGTCGATCTTCGTGATGTCTAGCAGTTTCCAACATGGTCAGATCTGTTGCGCTTTGGAAGCAAACGGATTTGGACCACCCAAGGGCGGACAAACAAAGGGCCAAGCAACGGCGTAATGTCGACAACGGGCCAAGCAGCTGGTGATTGCTTAAGACGACCATTTGTAAGACCAACCCCATCCAAAGACAATGGACCTGGGCACAGTTCAGAATGCAATAATGCACACTGAAAGTCTTGCATGCAGTACAGTTCTGCACAGTTGCAATGTAGTAACACCCACCCAACCAGGTTTAGGATCCGCCACCAACATCAACCAACCACTATCTGGAGGGAACCCAGAGAGAACCCAGAAACACACCAATACCCGTCTTCAACACATCAATCGATCCGCGCCCCCCCTTCGGTCGCATGTCGACCGTTCCACACCGATCCTTCGATTGCAACTGCGGCAGCGCATGCTCCAAGACCACGAAGGAGCGCCGCAAGGCCGCCTCGGTGGCCTTGAGCACCACCTGCGTCCGCTGCGTCAAGGCGGACGTTCTTTTTGGGGGACTCATGGAGGCTCCCCCCCCTTCGGATTCGAGTTCATGCAGGTTATAGAAGAAGGATCTTGCATTTGATCTTCCCCATGTCTCATTATATTATGACCTCATGTTCCTCAAGCAACTGACGTGAGCTGTTTGCTCCCCCTTGCCCCCACGTCTCCCCCACGCTCTCCCGCGCCGGTGCAGTGCACCCCACGGGGGACACCGCGTGCGCGGCCAGGCCACGGTCTCCAGTTGTGCAAAGGCGGCACGTGCGGTCTCGCCGTCATCGCGGTGGAGCGGCCCCGCGTCGTGCGGCACCTTCGCCTCGGAGGCGGACGGCTGGGCGGACGTAAAGGAGGTCGTTTCTAGCAACGCGGTGGCTGCGGGAGGAAGGCCAAAAGCTATGGTCCCAAGTACTAAGCAAAGTGGCAAAGTGGGGAGTCCTTTCTAGTTCCAAGAGGGGGCGGCCAAAGCATGTCTGGGAATGGTGTCTTAAAGTTGACTGGGACATGTCTGCTTGAAAGTGAGTATGGTGCATGGAATCCAAGAAGGATCTGCTGACTTGAGCAGCACAGGCATGTATGGAAATAGTTACAGTACAATATGATATATCATGATGGTAACATATGGTAACTATTCCGGAAATGGCTGGTCTCGGAATGATCGCCATCCGTTCTCCCCCAGAGGGAGGAGGGCTCCGTCTCGGCTTTGGACGACTCTTCGACCTTCCCCTTTGCAGGATTCAGGTTCAGACCCTGAGCAAGCGGACTGTTGAGGAGATGTGAACCCTTCAATTCAAGTACTGTAGACATGGCAGTCCAACGCCCCAAATTTCCGTGAGGACTACATATGTTCATAGCTCAAAACGCGCAAACACGGGTCTTGGTGAACAATATGTACAGCCCACGTCTGATTCCTTGTAATTGGACAGTGGGAAACAGCCAACTAAGCAAGTAAACACATGTAACACCGCGACTTGTGATAGTGTGGTTTGGATGGTTTTATGCCAAATAATGGTGAACAATGATGATGAGCAGGGGCTGGCATGGAAAACACTTGATTCGTTATATATATATATATATGTATATCAATGATCAAACTTCATTTCTCTTGACTGGATGTGACAAGCCTTAGCCACAAAAATAGCAGCACCACCGGGTGTCAGCTGCCTACATGTCCTAACTCTGCCAAAATGCCCAATGATATGTTACGGAAGTTACATACTGCAAGCCATCGCATGCAAATAATTTGTCAGTCTTAGTGGCAGGGATTCTGTATTCAATTTGCTCTTCTCTTCCCTTCGTCTCACCAGCTGGAGTTGCAACTTGGGAACTTGCTCAACTTGATATTAACTCCTTTCTCAACTTGAGCAATCAACCTCCTACTGTCAGTGTACCGTCTAGAAAGGATCAATTGTACGCCACTCTTGGCCACTCTCAGCTTTTCATGCCCCGGCTTATGGCCCAAAAGGACCATAGATATCGCGAAGTAGTGTGACCATAACACATCCAAGGTCGTCCAAGAACATGTTGCATGCTTGGACTCTCCCCAGGAAACAACAAAAACAACACACAAATACCAGCCCCTTCCGTTCGGGGTCACCTGGCTGGAAGCCCCCACACAAAAATCATCAAATTGTAGATCTCCAAATAAGACACCAAGCACAGGAAGGTCCAGGTCCAAATACACCCAAGACCAGGAGCTTTCCTCCTCCCCTTCTTCCCTTCCCCCTGTCACCCTCGTCACCTCTCTCAAGTAAAAAAAATCGCCCAAAGGACCTCTCTGAGTGGTTCCAGGAGTGTCGCCACTTTTCGGCTCGCGTGAGGCTGCTCCGGGCTCGGCCCCTCGTGGCTCACAGGTGTCCCCACAGTCGACCCGGCGACCACGTCGCCGCCCGTGGAGGCCTGGTTCGACGTGTGGCGAGTGGCGATGAGGAAGGAAGGGATCTCACCGTGTGGGATGGGTTTCTCACGTGTCTCAAAGCTCCATTGGTCCGGTCAAACACATCCACTGCATCAAGGTTTGCCCTATTTTCAGGGGCTGGCGCCCACCAGCGGGCCAGCAGGCCCACCATCAGAGGTTGTGCATTGTTGTTGTTGTGGTTGTTGCATGTTGTTGCCGTGGTCGTTGGTGTTGCTGTTGCAGTTGCAGTTGTTGTTGTTGGCCCGATTTTGGGGGGCATTACTGATAGCGACCCCTCAGCCCATCCCCACCTGGGCCGTGGCCTCCTCGAACTTGTCCCACGCCGTCACTTGGCGCCGGAAGAAGTCGGGCGACTGCGAGTTGCTGGCGCCGAACTGAGCGTCGTTGATCAGCAGGCCATTGTCCCGAAGGACCTGCTCGAAGCAAAGGTTCGAGTGTTCCTCAGCGTTGGCGTCGGGTGGCGCAGGCGTCGGGCGTGGCGGGTAGGTCAACGGTTCAGAAAGCCGGTCGACAGAGAGAGACGACGACGCATAAAACATCATAAAGCCACGCCGCTTAGAGCAACAAAAAATAAAACTCAACTAAGAACACGTCGTTTTGTGTGCTCAAATTTGTGTGCTCTAGTACTGTATTTCTCGTTGTGAGAACAACATGTGGTTTACACATGTGTTTAAAAAACACATGTAAAACCAGTAAACCCTTACATCGACTCGATCCGCGAGTCGACCGATCCGTCGACTCGTCGAAACACCGAGCGAGTGGTCGAGACAGCTGCGCGAGTGGTCTCGGCAGTGATAGACCGTTTTAGAGTACTAAAGAGAGCCCCAAACACATAGAAAAACCCATTTCCCCACTCACTAAACGATATATATTCTACAGTATAGGACACCGTTTCGAATGATCTATTTGGGGATCTTCAGTGATGCTCACATGATGTTTCGCCTCACGTGGATCACCCTCAGTGATTTTCAGTGTCCCCGCCAGTCAGCCAGATGAATGATCCACTATGAAAACCCTTTTTCCCTTCATGCAAGGTTCAATCTGTGCAGCCAGGATATCGAACTGCTCCTGTACAATGTCATACAAGTCCTCCTGCATCTGCAAAGACCTGGCGCTTAGCCCGGGGCGGCGTAACGCCCGGCAGGAAGCAACCGGCTCGAGTCCGACGAGTCCGACCAAACAGGTTGTTTTCCACAGGTTGTGACACAGGTCAGGTATAGACCTACCAGGAAATCCCAACACACGTGGGTTTTATCAGGTTTTATCTGAACCAGTTCTCTGAAAAAAAGAGTCCAAATCGACAAATCAACAAATACCGGCAAATGATGCCAAATGTGAGTTGCACAGATTGTCACCTAGGAAGCCAGCAGCCGTGATATTAACATGTGTTTTTTTTTCCGCATTGTGATGGAATTGACAGATTCGATGGATTATTTATTTTGAGTTAAATCTGCAATGTCTTTTCTGCTTGCACAGACATACGGGTGTCAAAAGCGTTGTAACTATATATCTATGTTTGTCCATCGTATGGTCAGACCGACGTGTCGAAGACGGCCGCTTGGATGTCCAAGCTGGTCCGACGAGGTCGACGAGTTCATGGCCCAGCTCGGCTGGTCATGGACATCGGCACCATTCGCAGGTGACTTTCATGCATGGTGTCGGTAGGTGATCCTCTCCGCCCACCCTGTGACAGATTTGGTTGGATGCTCATATAGAATCCCTATCATCTTCTTGAGGGGGGTCCTCCAGAAAATGTAAGCAGTTACAATTATTGTGGCTGTAAAGCACCTCCAAACTATAAGCAAACATTTAGTCGAACAAGATCATTTAAACATAAGCGAAATCTTACGTTTCCAAGGACCCCCAAAAAAAAAACGCTAGGGTGTGTTGGTAAATGTAACTTACATGTTCTAAAAAATGTAAGCTACATCTTTACATCTTTAGGAAAACGCTCTTCAGGTTTCATCTATCTCTCTCCCCCTAGTTCTCTACGTTCTCTGGAGTTCCTCTCTGGGATTCCTGGCATGTGATGGCATATGTAATTTTTTCCTGAGGAATCACCGAAGGCTGACAGAAAAACCAAAGGGGGGTCAACTTACAGTTTAGGGTCCTCCATATAACTTACATTTTTTCGACTCCCCACCCCCTACATGTCCTAGAGGACCCGCTCATTTGCAATTCCGCCGCAGGGGTAGGGATCGAAGCAGTTTTCACAAGCCCTACGCGACCGAAACGCGACCGCCACATCCAGCCACTTCGACCAGTTCCACTGTTCCAACCTGAAGGCTCCAACAGTGGCTTAAACATCTTATGCTAGCTGCTAGGATTGAACGGTCTTTCAACTCACCAGCCCCACTCCCAGCAGCTAAACATCGCAGTTCTCAGCTTCCTGCACAACAATACCACAGGACTACCACAGGGCAAGCCTTCCCCCCACTCCCCATCTGGCTGGTCTCCGTGAAACCTCCGGTCCTTTGGGCTGGCCGCTGACCACCCGTCCGAGCCGGTCTGGTCTCCGACGCAACCGGCACCTGAGCATGTTGTACTTCACGAAGCGGGGAGCCGTCTTCGAGTCGTGCACCCAGCGCGACAACGCCGCGATGAACTCCGCGCTCTGGATCTCGCCCTCGCCGGTGCCGTCGATCATGTCGAAGAGCTGACGCAGGTCGGACCTCAGAAACCGTAGCCAGCTGGAGTGAACGGGGGAAGTCCTCATGACCAGAAGGGAAAGAAGGAAAAACCCGTGCTTTTTACGTGCAAAGGAGCCCACATTCCACTCCGGATCCATGCAATTTATATAAATTTATGATAGTTGTGTATCATTTGGGCCGCGATTTGGAGCCTTTGAATTTTACCATTTCCAATTCCCCATTTAACTCGATCTCCTACAGTTTGATGGGCTCATGGGCTTGCATGAACTGAAGGTGCAAGGATTTCTTCCTCACCTGGACGGGGAAGATTGCGAGGCGCTTGAAGGCATGAAGCCTTCGCGTTCGTGATTTCCCTGGGCGTCCAGTTATTTCGATAGCATGCTGATGAACAAATGCAGTCATGTGTCCAGCCCGCACGGCATCGAGCGGCTCTTTTTAAACCAACGGGTCCTCAAAGTTACACTATAGTCACTGTTGTCCACTGATTTCCACAGCCACAGCAAGGGAGGAAACACAAGTTCCAATGATGTTGCGTCCTCAAAAACTAAATTAAACATAAGTACACTATATTATTACAATATCCTACAATATACCACTGAGAAAACATAACTTCTTGGGTGGCTGACCCAAGGAAAAGAAGTCCGTGATCACTTTGACCACAGGGTTTTGGCAACCCAGCCAGTGGCTCCAAACCCTAGAGCCTTTGACTTCAAACCAAAACATAGTGGATTGGGTTGCCCACATCTGGCTTGGCGAACCCTTTTCGCCCGAGATGGCCTATCATTTTGGGTGTCCAAATGTTCAAAAATGTTCACATGTAATACATACCAGGACCATCCAGGACCCTAATGGGGTGGTGAATGGACGCCTCTTAACCTCTCAGGGGTGTCCTGAATAAACACACCTTGCGGGGGTCCTGGTACTGCTTCAGTCTTGGTTGGACATATTTGGAGCACTGACCAGGTGCAGTTGGTGGCTGACCAGGTGGCCTCCTGTCACCTTTCTCGGATGGTTTGTTCTCTCCACAGTCGGCACAGGCACTCATCGATGTCCATTACCCGCAGTCGACTCTGGAATTCGGGGTCTTTCCTTAGCGAGCGAATCCGAAACGGGGCCCGACAGTGGTACGACGCATGACGCAAAGGGGTGTCGACAAAAATCACTGAAAGTCAGGAGTAGAGCGTTTCCCCCCTCACCCATCTCTGTTTATGAACAGCATGTGATACTCACTGAAATCGCAGGAACAAGCTACCCTGAGCAAAAACAAACTGTCAAAAAAACAAACGGTGATTGGCTCATGTTGACCTTTGCGAGTGTAACACGTGGCACTATCTCGTCGTCATGGTGTGTGTTGAATGCACCATATAATTCCTCCCCTCCGAAGAGAACAAAACAAACAAAGGTTCTAACGTCTCCGGCAACTTGACTCCCAAACACTCCCAGCAACCAAAACACAACATGACCAAGAGAGGTTGAGAGACCAGAACTAGGACCCTGTAGTGGTACATGTGGGATGGGCGGGATGGGCTGTTCAACCTCTCTTGGGAATTCCACCTTCAACCTCTTATTCCTTCACCAAGCGGAGTCTCCGTGCACCTTCCACCAGCTCCTCGAAGTTCAACATGCCACTGCCATCAGCGTCAATCCCTGGTCTGTGCAGTCCGGTCTCTGGATTGAAGGGGGGTGGTTTGGCCCTGGCTATTGACGGGTGTTTGCAGTTTTTTTACATATCACTATACTCTCACGTTGAGATGAACCGATTCTATATAGTGGTCCTCTTCTTGATATTGCTACTGCTCAGCGTCCACCCTGCCAGTAGATCTCACTTCTACATCTGTTAGTCACATGGGTCACGTGAACTCAAAGCGCTGCATAAACCATTGAGATGCCCTGAAAGGATTTGATTTAGCCTACAGCCATCTACTCGAACACGATCAAATCCATGCAAATCGAAGCGAACGAACTCGGAGTTCTGGCTGCTTTTGGTCGGTCGCACTTGGGTCGACTTGCAGGATGGAACTGTTTGAACCCCCAAAAAAACATGGACCGTTAGTGAAAAAAGATCTATGGAGATGCAGAATCATCCTAGTAGGGGGTTGTTTGGTGAATCAACCGTGAAAATTCGAGTTACATCAAACTGGAACAACATATTAACTGGAACAAAATATGTGAATCAGATCAAACAATGCACGTTCAACCGGGATCTTCCATGCCCCAACTACCTAACATGTTAATACATGTTATTCCTTTCACCTTTTCAGTAAACGGTTCAATAATTGCGGCCGTGGGTCGATCAAACATCCTCTGCAGGACTTTCTGGTCATTGGCGAGGTCCACCTGAGCGACGGCGGATCCCTCCAACAATTCTCGCTGGAGAGAGGAAAAAACCTTCGGAATCTTCGGGAGCGTTCTTTAATGAAATGGGATCTCCCACGGTTATAAAACACCATTGTGGGAACATGCTGTGTTGATATAAGAAAACTGCACCGTCACCTATTGCAGGCCAATAAGCTCGAAACATATCATCCAGCCAATGCACGCGTTCGGTTGCAGCAAACCCACAATATATTGCAGGGCTAAGCCGTTTGATGGCTCATATTCAAAATTTCAGTTGGGGATATATTTCCAGCTGGAGAAAACCCAATCAACTGCCAAACGTCTCAACATGTACCACTTCATACCACTTCCATGGCTCGCGGCGTTTCAACAGGAGAACCTCCGCACCTCAAGGTCCTCGGCAAGGTTGAGCACGTCCCGCTGGCGGGCCTCCGCAAAGGTGTCGACCACAACCTTAGTTAGGAGTTCAGATGCTGCATAACACGTGCACACAGCCGCGAGCCGCCCAAAAAGGCGTGGGGCGTCTCGCGCTCACCCCGCTCTCCACCCAATAGTAGCGCCCACTGCGATCTAGAGCTTGCTGTTGGGGTCTTGTGCCTTTTTAGTTACTGTCACGCATGAAGACTCACGATGGAGGGGTTTATGGATGGTTCGTGAGTCGTGGGCGGGCCCCTTCTTGGATCCCGAAAGACTGACCCTGCCTTCCACAAATATATATATATATGAATATATATATAGATAACCTACGACCTCATAACGACCGATTAATTCAAAAAAAAAGATAGCAGGATGAGAATTAATCCCTGGCGCAAAAGGGGCCTCCTGACACATTTTACACATCCAAGCCTTTCAATCATCATCATCACTTATAGTGAAAGGCTTGGGACACCATACTAAAGAACATTATTATCTAGAACATACTATACAATTTCTTTGGGTTAGATAACTTTGGGAACTTTAGTTAGTATTGGTTCATTCTGATAATTGCTCCAAGGGACAAAAGGAAACCAACATCATGTTCATTCACTTTATTGTTTTCACCTTTTAGCATATCAAACGAAAGGTAGATAAATGCAATGACACATCATGTGTTGTTTTGAGTTCTTCATGTCTTTTGCTTCGTACACGAACAAACACCAAACACCACATCCAATCCATTCGCCCTGACCGGTTCGTGGAACCCGAACGTGTTCCGACGACCGGCTTTCCCGGCGTTGGAGACACGTGGTGATTGGCACGGCCCAAAGAGTGCACTCTTCGAGTTGCTTTCCAATGAATCGCTGGATGTAGTGCAAACATGCGCACTTCATGAGTATCCCTACCCCAAGTGAAGGGGGGATTTTGGAACATTAGAAGTTACATTTAGGAAGGTAACGGTAACAGGGTAGGAAAATGTAACGTAGCTTACATTTTTGCCCAAAGTGGTGGCTGCAGCATTTTGCATTTTTGCAGCGGCGACTGCTGAGGCCAGTAATATTCATCTGCTGCAGACTACCCTGAGGTGGTGGTTCCCAAAGAGATGGTTTATGAGCAAGGATGCAGTCATATCATATCGTCATCATATGGCAAGACTACCATGGATTTCACAAAGAAAATGCAAAACATTGAATGTTGAACCAGAAGTTACCTGTGGGGGTGGTAGTAGTATGGAGGTCGTCGGGGTGCCACCGTCACATCCACTGCCACTCACTCCATGTGACGCTCCGATGATCCTGATGATCCAGCTTCGGTGCTCAGCTGCCGCAGAGTTGCCGCCCGCCAGTCCCAACACATGGAACTCGCCCGTCCGCTCCCGCTCCCGCTCCCGTGTCAGCTCTCGCCGGTCCCACGTCACGTGCGTGTCAGCCGAAAATCCCTAGCCCACCGCATCCGGTATCGAAGCCAAGAGGCTGCCACGATGAGATTCAGAACTCCAAAAACCAACGTCAACAAGCTGCCCATGAAGATGATCGCCGTCCTGAGACATGAGACTGCCGCGCTGAACGATGCAGAAAACCGCACCCCAAACAGACTGGGGGCCAGACCCTAACCCAAACACTCCATGTATGGAATATATGCCTACATTGACCCCCAAAACCACCCCAATGTAGGCATATAAATGGAGTGTCTGGGTAAGGGGGTGACTGCTTGCTTTGAACGAGCAGGGGCTGAGTCACTCATGTTCCACATGGAACGTGAGTCACTCACTCACGTCCGATCCTGAGAAACAGCAGCTTGCCGAAATAGCACGCTCAAAGCATCAGCGGTGTCCACACCGTTGGGACCACAACATGTGACTCTTCGAGAAATCCCATACTGCAGCGGCATGCAGACCTCAACGAACACACGAACAGGCGGGTTTTTCGGATAAAACAACATCCATGTTTCCAGGCCTAACCATGCCTAGCCTCCCCAATTCATGCACCACCATTAACCAATCTCCATCTTTTTCAACCAAACATTTGATAACCAAAAAATACCAAAAATCCAAACCAAACCAATCCATATGTCGACCACTTTGGTGAAACCGACCGTCCCCCGGGGTAGCAGTGATGTCATTGGTACCATTGACTTGATTGCTGCATCTGAGTATCCCCTCTATGCATCAACCGATCCTATAGACATTCCACATGCCTTTTCTGAAGCTGCGACTGGACCCTCCTGGCACCTGCATCAAAGAGTGTCCGTCCTCACTTTCTCAGAAGGAAATTATTTGGATATATATTTAGATCCATAGAAAATATCCTCCCTCCAACAAACATGAAGTGGAACATGGATTCAGAATCATACTGAAATAATCATATTATAAAGGCAGCATACATGTTGGAATTTACCTGGACATAGGATAGCCGGATAGCCCATGTATGCCCATGTATGCTCCATCTCCAGGCCCCTCAGCTGGGGCCTCTTCACTCACCGAGTCTCCCGGGATATTCATCGATCACGGGGACGGCAATTTGGCCCCAACTGTCGCCGGCAATCACCTCAGGGACTGAAGAGTCGACGCTCCCGCTGACCCCTTTCGTCCGGTCCTGCGGACCCTTCTATCCGCTGCGGACCGTGTTTCGGAAGACTGTTCGACTGGGCCCCAAGGGGTGCCCTGTCTGGAAGCCTAGGATGGTAGTGTGGGGTAGTCCAGCCAGGACACCCCGACAGGAGGGTGGTATAGGTAGCCTCTTCGGCCATGTTGGGTCCGCCACGGTGGACGTCTCAAGGCGAACATGATCTCCAAAGTGTGGGGATGGATCCTATTGAGATCTATGGAATTTTCTGCTGTTCAAAGGATGATGTGTTTCAAAAATGTGGGTTTTATGCGCATGTCAAGCTCTAAACAAACTCCATTCATGGTACCGGTGTTTGATTCTGCCACCGGTGGGTTGTGAGGGTGCGGGTGTCTTGGGAAGTGCAGCTGTTGGTCCAGGGGGCGTGGAGCTTGAATCATACGGAGTCAAAGACCCGTTGAAGCCTCTTGGGGATCGTCATGCGAACAGTCTGCCCGAAGGAAGCAGGGGAGACAATCAAAAACACAACTAAACCTCATGTAGAGTTAATTCATGTGAGATTGAATCATTGAAGTTGAAAATCAGTGCGACCATGTTGGAGTGGGATGCATTAATAATGATAATGACTGAGCTTGAAAAGCTGCAAGGCTACTAGTCTTCGATATGATGAGTGCTCCACTTGAAAAAGGCCAGCAACAGGGGCCGCTGTGCTCATTCCAGGGCCTAAACATGCACAGGCTCCAGCCCCTGCAGCTCTAAATGACTTAGTCAAGCTTCGCTCCTACCCAAACTCGAAAGGAGTCAAAAGACAAGAGACTATGACCGGTCATGGTGGGCGTCTATGCCCGGTCATCGACCGGTACCCCAAACTTCGCTTGGAGATCGAGTTTTCGATCACCCCGAATCATGAGGCGCGTGTAGACATGGACATGTGTAGACTCTTGATTGATGAACCCACCCCAATTGGATTGAGAAACACCTCTGATGAAGATGATTATTTATCAAGAGTCGACATTGAAGTGCTTAGGACCAAGAATTCGGATCGGCCGATCGGAGAACTGGGCCAAAAGGCCGTCTTGAAGAGCAGCACATTGGCGTGCATGACAGATCTCGTGGCTTTGTGGCAGTCAGAGCAATCACTAAAGGCGTTTTCTTCAAAGTGAAGCTCCTGAATGAGTGGGTGGATAAACTCAACCTCGGCACGGAGATGTGGTCCAGCAGCCAAAGAAACGAGTTCGGCAGGCTTTCCCATCACCCAAACTGAACTGTGCCAGCGTGCGAAAAGGAACTTCTTCAGAACTACTACGCTACCTGTGGGTTGCTTTGCCCTCCTCTCAAACCCGGGACCAGCGATCTCGTCGCTTCATGTCGCTTGGGTCTTTCAAGTTCCAAGCGAAAGTCATCTTCAGCGTTACAACTCCAAAAAGCAACGGTGCCCAAAAGCGTTGCCAAAAGCGCTCCGAAAAGCCATGAGCATCGCCCAAACGGTCATGATCACGAAGCAAAAAATGAAGGACCATATAAGGGCCTTGCGCGGTGGACGCGGCCCCCACGAAGTGGTTTTCTGAGGGCTTCTAGCTGCTAGCATGTCGCCGAAGGGGGAGCATAGACCATCACTTGAAGGGGGAGCTCTCTTCGCTGGCATATGATCAAAACACGTATCATTAGCAACATGTCTTGTAACCATCTCTCAGCAAGTGCTCCTTGTGCTCCTCCTGGAGTGAAAGCACATACGCTCTTCCGTTTGCTTGACGCTCTTCCGTCATGACGATCGAGAACTCGCACGTCTGGCGACCCCTTGCTGATGCAGCCAGTCACATGGTGCCACAAAAAACATCAAAGACATTTTGAAAAAAATATTTCAGAATAATTCCTTGGCATTCCTTGCAACATCAATCTCACTCCTCTTGACTCATGGTTTGGGGGGATCAGCCCTTTTTACGGCCCATCCCCCATCTGTTCACCCATCAAAACCGCTTAACCCTCTCCGTTCCCCGCGAGGTCTCCGCCTTCAAACACGTGGTCATCATACTCACGAGCTTGGAGAGCTCCCGCAGCGCCCGCGTCCGCTGTAGGACGCGGGTGATGCGAAAGATGCGCACCAAGCGCAGCACGCGGATGATGGAGATCCTCAGCGGAGCTTCGTGAGCTTCGCGGCGGTCCTGCTTGTGTTTGATGAGCTAGGTTCTCGCGGAGGTCTCGCGGAGGTCTCGTGTTGGATGGGTGCAAGACTTTCCGGGTAAAGAAGTGAAACCACCGGGCGAACATACAGATGGAGTACCGAGGTCAGGCGGACGAGGTTGAGAACCATCGCACACCAACAGTAGATTCAAAGCTCCGAATCGGAAAAGTAACGCACGTCGCGCACGTGGTCTTCCAACCTCCTCCTGATTGCCCCTCCCCGGTCCACGACATGCAAGCCGCACCGTTGCTGCAACGGCGAAACGCTCAAATCACTCCATCGCCAGGGATCATGGAGTTGTCGGTGGCCCAAATCACTTCCATAACCTTCTCGATCGCACCACAACCTGCTTGTCATGTCATGTTTTCTGTTTAAATTATGTTTAAATGGATAGAAGATCAAGAAGAGGGACCAATTCTGGAATGTAGTCTTCATATTGGTACGGTGTGGACAAAGGAGACGTTGGACATCGTTGAGACATCTGGAGAGATGACTGATGACTGTAATATACTGTAATTATCCAGTCATGTTGAGTAAATAGATGCTGAGATGGATAGTTACCAGGAGTCTGTTGAGATGGATAGTTACCTGCTTGGAGATCTTTTTCGATGCCGATGCCTGACCATTCTCGAACCAGAGCGGGGACACCGTCTCGTGATCGACTGGGAAGCCGATCCTTCGAGGCCCTCCGGGGGAGTCCACGAAGGATGGATGTTCCATCCAACATCCTGAAGGCAAGGATAGATGTTCCATCCAACAATCATGTTCTTATGAGCAAACATGGGTGATATGTTCTGATATGTCTTTATCTTTGACTTCTGGAAGCGGAACCTTCCTCCGGTCCTGTTTGAAGAAAAGCTGTCTTCCCACTTCCGCTGTGGGTGAAAACAGGAGACCTTGGTTGACCTACAGGTCAACCTACCAGCGTTTGGAGCTACAGGTGTTGACCCCATTTAAGTGAGTCAGTATGCACTTATGCACCTGTCCTGCAGGTGACTTGCCAGCTTTGTTGTGCCGGGCCACCGATGATCAAGAGGTCCAACCAGGTTGCCACTTCCCTCAACATCTTGCAGCCGCGCAAGATCAAGACCACCTCACCACGCTGCTTCCGTTGGACCGGACCCTATTTGGGCGATCATGAAATGCACGACTGCAGGAACAACTAAAGAAACCAGAAACGTGACTTCCACAACAGCAACATACAGCAACCTCTCCACAACAGCAACCAAGCTGTTCATGGCCAATTCAAGCTATCCAGTCTCTCCCGAAATCCATCCGATCCCTGAACCGATCGGAACATCCACGGGAAGAAAGGAATCTGCACTTACAGTATAGGTCCTATAGTTCCTCCTTCCTGCCAAAGCCACGACAAATTCCACGGTGTACAAGCCCAAGGCCGTATTCGATAACACCTCTACCGCTAAGGGCACATCCTCCACTGCGGCTCGGGCGTCCTGAGGCATGTCGAAAAAAAGGCCTTCAGTGGCAACAAGGCACATTGACATGGACAACACAGGACTCCATTTCGTGGTCCCAGGTTGGACAAGCGGACGTCTATCACCAAACACTTTGGGTGGACAAATTTCAAGGCTCTTCTTCATGTGGATGTGGGGTTCCCATGATGTCCAATATTCACGGTTGCTTCAGAATGATGGGACTTCAACTTTTCATTGGACTCCAGGAAGAGGTGGCCGGCGGGTGATGACATCCCGCTTGGACCATCTTGGACCTGTGTGAGACATGTGATGAAGTTGGCAACTCGAGCCTTGGCTGCGACTTCCTACTCTGACTAGTTCAGATTGGAGAAGAACCAAGGACCAAATTCCAACCAAGAGATGAACAACCCTAAGGTCGCCCATCCATAATATGTACCACTATAGGGTCCTATAGAGTCTCTCAACCCCTCTTGGAAGGTTAACTAACCCTTTGATATGCCCTGATACAATTATGCACTAAGTCGAGTTGATGTCTTGGCCTAGGCTAACAGCACTGCCAAATACTATCAGCAGCGTCACCTTCCACAAAGCTGTGTGAGCTGCCGCAACTTGCGCTCGAATCGTCGGCACGATGACGCATGAATCGTCGGGGCACGATGTCCATGCAGGTGCAAATGGAGTCCACGATGACCACCAGCACCATGAAGTTGGAGAAGCGGGCACCTGACCACGGGAGGTGAGATCGTCTCCCGCGGCGACCCGGACCAGGGAAGCCAAATATGAATGGTTCAACATGCCTGAACCTACTACAGGGAGGCCTACTCTAAGCGACCCGGCCTGGAAGAGCATATATATATATATAATTATATAAATAGTCATATATCTATCTAGCCTATATGTATCTGCCTGTCTACCTAGGTTATTTCCCATAGATGAATCAAGTATATAACATCAATCTGGACACCAAAAGCCCATAGATCATGAAATAGCATGCAACAAAGCCGAAGCCCCTTAAATCATGATGCTTGAAGAGGAATCCAGCCAAGAAAGAACCATCAGCAATCCCCAAACTAATTACAAGATAAGTTGCTAAAACTATTTAAAAATTACCAAAGGGGGACTTCGATTTGTTGCCAACCCGATGACCAAGGAGATCAATCCAACTCAATCCAACACCACTGGATTGGCCACAAAGTCAGATCCAAGAGACACTTCGCCAACCGCCGGGCCAGTGCTGTTGGGTCATAACTGCTCCTCCTCGGCCACCCGTGCCGTGCGCATGCGCTTGGTGCGGTGCCGATGATCAACTCTGCGATCACTGATAGACCCCTCAACGACTGGGATTCGGAAGCGAACACCAGCTGGGATCCTTCGATCCCGACGTCCGGGAGAGGTAACAGCCCGGACGTTCGCCCCCGATGTACCACTACAAGGTCCTACAGTAGATGGACAAATTAATCAAACCCTAAACCACCATGGTCCATCACCACCCCCGCACCCCCGATTTCAATGTTGTCTCAGTAAAAAGATGTTTTGTTGTCAGGGGTTTGATTTGATTCGTCCACTCAAGCCAACCTCCTTCACCAACAGGCCAGCATTGAACTATGGGGGGTAAGGGGGTGAATTCTGCAAGGGTTTGAATAATTCGTCCACCTACGGTACTGGGTTTTGACGTGCTGGGAGAAACAAATGACACGTTCGTGTCATTTGTTTCCCCCAACACGTCTAAACCCAGTACTGTCTCAATTGTTTGGTTTTGTACACATCCCCATGCCAGAAATATTGGCTTAACATATCGCCTTCACCTTGTTCTCAAACATCATTGCCCATTGCATCTACTGCTTGCTGTTGAAGAGTGTGTGTCTCCTTGGTACGGTACACTTGTGTCTTTTGCGTCTGTGCCTGTGTCTTTGCACACGCTGTCAAGGTACACTAACACTTGACGTATGAAGGTCCAATCTTCTCTTCCACCCAACTTCCAAAACACAGGTTAGGAACTGGGTTAGGAACTGGGAAAGGAATTGGTAAGGAACTGGTAAGGAACTGGCACAGGGAGTTAGGAACTGGAAAAACACAGTGATTTGGACGCCAAAGGAGTTAGGAACTGGAAAACACAGTGATTTGGACGCCAGCAGTTAGGAACTGGAAAAACACAGTGATTTGGACGCCAACGGAGTTAGGAACTGGAAAAACACAGTGATTTGGACGCCAACAGTTAGGAACTGGAAAAACACAGTGATTTGGACGAACAGAGTTAGGAACTGGAAAAACACAGTGATTTGGACGCCAACAGAGTTAGGAACTGGAAAAACACAGTGATTTGGACGCCAACGGAGTTAGGAACTGGAAAAACACAGTGATTTGGATGCCGGAGTTAAGAACTGGACAAGCACAGCGATTTGGGCGCCACATTGTCACGACCTGGAAAGCGCAATGATTTGGGTGGAAGAGAAGATTGGACCTTCATACGTCAAGTGTTAGTGTACCTTGACAGCGTGTGCAAAGACACAGGCACAGACGCAAAAGACACAAGTGTACCGTACCAAGGAGACACACACTCTTCAACAGCAAGCAGCAGATGCAATGGGCAATGATGCTTGAGAACAAGGTGAGGGCGATATGTTAAACCAATATTTCTGGCATGGGGATGTGTACAAAGCCAAACAGTTGAGACAGTAGATGGACAAATTAATCAAACCCTAAACCACCATGGTCTATCACCACCCCCGCACCCCCGAGTTCAATGTTGTCTCAGTAAAAAGATGTTTTGTTGTCAGGGGTTTGATTTGATTCGTCCACTCAAGCCAACCTCCTTCACCAACAGGCCAAACATTGAACTATGGGGGGTAAGGGGGTGAATTCTGCAAGGGTTTGAATAATTCGTCCACCTACGGTAGTTCTGGTCTCTCAACCTCTCTGGGATCGTGTCAAACGTGTCAAAGGTGTCAAAGCCGTCCAACACGATTCGTCCGCGTCGGTACCAAGGATCGGCTGGCTCAGTGTATCTCTGTTGGTCGCTTTGATGAAGTTGGCGCCGATGCCACCTGCGAAGTCTGGTGCAGTCAGTCCAGGATGGTCATGTGAGTAGCTACGTCATGGTGAAGACATCATGGTTTAGTACATATATATATATACATATCCCAAACACTCCATGGGACTGCCATATATGCCTACACTGGGGTGGTTTGAGGGGTCAATGTAGGCATACATGGCAGCCCTATGGAGTGTCTGGGTATGTTTGCATATGTTTGCCCGTGCGGAGTCCACGTCCGTCGATTACTTCTCTAATCTCTGGACCCGTTCCCGACAAAAACGGAATCTGCGTCCGTCTTTTACGCAAAAGAATCCAAAAGAACACACACACAGGGACACGCACACTTTTTGGACAACTCAATGGTCCAGCGCCTGCGTTTGGTCCAGAAAATCGAGCTCGTTCTCTTGGACAACGAGTTAAACCCACGAACTGACAGCGAGTTCTTTGAGCGCGTGCACGTTAAACAACATGTCAACCCCACCCCAGTGGGAGCCAAGGGAGTCTAACCTCCTTCTGAGGATATGGTTGGAGCCCTAGGGAATGCATCGGCACCCTCACAAAAGATCGTCACCTGCCACTTTTTGGTCTCCATGTCAGTCACCCTTTCGGAAACCTTGTTCGAGTTGGGTGCTGGTGTTGGTGCTATGTTTCAACTTTCTGACTTTCACGTCTTGCACACCGCAACAACTGCAAGCCCGGCCTTTGGTCTTGGTGGCGCTGCCCTTTTGCTCCAGCCGGTCCAGCGAGGAGCGCATCGAAAAGGTCGGCGAGCCTGGGGACGATGGGTCACCGCCTGGACCGACCGACGTGCGGTGGGTCAGCAGGGCCTGAACGTCAGCACTGACTTTGGAGACTGAATGGTTTTAGAAGACGGTTTCAGCCACCTCGTCTGCACCTCAACCCGGAGATCTCAAAACCCAAGAACGGACCAACGGTCGTCTTAGGTGCGATCTGCTGTCCGTCGTCTTCCACTTCAAGGATCTCAAGCTGGAGGTGACAGGTCGTGTGCGGCTCCGGGCGACCAATGGAGCTACACTCCCAAAAACTCACTTGGACCCCTGAAAATCACTCTTCCAGGTTACCATTGGACAATGGTCGATGTTAGTGTTTGGGAGTGCTTAATAGTGACGATGCACTTATATAAACCCTAACTATATATATTGCTCCAACCATATTTTCAGGTGGTTGGACCCCCCCCCCCTGCACACCCACCCCAACCACCGAACCCAAGGATGTGGACCAGGAGCAACGCCAGTTCACAGCTGCAAAGCGGTGCAAGTCGTTGCTTTCTTACCGTATAGGTTGGGTCTATCCGAGTCTACCTAGGCCCAGTGGATGATGGTTCAGTTCCAGACCTTGTTCAAAAATAGTACTCATTGTTTACTGACTGTTACAGGTAATAGGACAGACCCTACCTGGATGTACATACCCTCTGAGATCCTCTGAGAAGGTGATTGGTGTCTCCACTGTTGTGTACGTGCCAGGGTTGGGTCCTGTCATACCTGAGAAGGTACTATATATCCCCAGGCTTCCCTTCGACCATGTTGACCTGGTTGCGTAGTGTAAATCCTTAGTAAAACAGCTGGTGATTCGGGAGTCAGACCATTAAAACAATGGTTGTTGGAAGCCTAGGGTATATATATATAATATATATATATATGTATCTAATGGCACACTCTCCAACAGGTGTTTCCTGGTGACAACAAGGTGCCCAGAAACCACCTGTTAGTGTCCCAAAACAGCCTGTTGGAGGGTCCTGGTGTTACAGCGTGCCGATGTCGTGGGGATGTCCTGGCTCCGGGTTCCACGAACTGATCGTGCCCTTGGCGTGACGCCGGACGTTCGGCGAGCAAAGCTTCAAATCCTGGATGGGGCCGATAAACGATGGAAGACCACCTGGATGACCACCTGGGTTCCAATTGGATAAACACAACTGGGTTCCAGTTGGTTGTGTAAAGGATGTCAATTGCACCCAATTAGCATGTTGAAAAGAACATGGAAGAACCATTGGTGCCTGATTGGTTTCCAAAACAGCCATTAGTGTCATATGGAATTAATATATGATCAGTGTCATACGTGATGAGACCCCGATCATATGGATGACCACAGCACACATACGGTATGTGATGAACCACACGTCATACCACTTCTGTTCCGCTGGGTGCACTCCCTAGAGGTCCATGCATCCTGTCCTGAAAATGCCCGAAGAGTTGCTTGTTCTATCTGTTCTTTGTCCTGCGTGTCTTGGGGAAAAAAAACGCACATGCACAAAACAAGCCCCTCAATAATGTACAGCAGTAAGACCCCCCCACTGCCCCCACTGTCTGCGCTCTACGGCTATATGATCTAGGTTTCTTCTTGAACGGCTCCTTTTGGTCGCCCATGCGTCCAAACGCCCCTGATTCCAATCTGCTTCCAACGCCGACACCGCGAAGAGCGCGATCAGTTCGGCCCGGCCACCCAAACCCAAGCGCGGGCTCCCCATGCCGCTACTGTTGCCAGTGGTCAACTTCACCATGCGCTCTGACGTCCAGGTGCCCTTCCTCGAGGCCATCCTGGTGGGTTTCTTGAAGGAGGAGGCGGTGGTGGTGGTTGTGTAAGAAGCACGTGCATTTCTACAGCAACAGCTGGAAAGGGGGTTCTGTGCTTCTTCAGTCAAGTTTCGGGAGTTGTGCCGACAAGGTCTGAATGTCCAAATGAGGGAAACAGTTGATTTTCCAAATAGAAATGCAACTGCTGACATGAAGGCCGCTGGTACCTATCTCAAAGCCTCCACCCAGAATTACAAACTTCTGTTGGAACAAAAAGACTGGGGACCTCTGCTTAAAAGACAATATCATATTGAACCCATAAGGCCTTTTGAGGATTTATATAGAGGTGTATAGAAATGAACAGATCCCGGGCATCGGCAGCTTGCTTTTCAGGACTAGTTCGACCAGAAATGGGGGCACCACTGGTTCAAGGCAACCATGACTGACATCAAACAGCTCTCACCTCACCAGGTTCTCACAAGAGGTGCAGAGCAAATGCCACTCCACATCCCAAAACAAGACAAAAACCGCTCTCCCAGCCGCTTCGTTCATTCCACCCCCGTTCATCCTCCCCGGATGTATACATCTTCTTACCCCCGTCCTCTTGGGATCCATCGAGTCATCCAAGGACATGGGCAAATCCCGGGAATCGGCCCCCGATTCCCCGCCGCTCCAGCCGCGCAGCGCCGCCGGCCGCGCCCGCGCAGACGCGGACGGCGCGGACGGCGCGGAGGCGTCGGAGGAAGCGTCGGGTGGCTCGGCCGTCTCGCCGCACTCCATGGGGTCGTCGAAGGCGCACGGGCGGAGCCGGGGAAGAAGGCCCCTGGTGGGGCCAAGCTGAAGAGCCAGCTCAGGCCGAAGGTGAGGCACAAACATGAGAGACTGATCCACGGAGGGTGGACCGGAAGGAGGAAAGCTGTGGGTGCCAAATGGTGCAACCATGATTTTTCCACCAAAAAGGACCGGAAGCAGCTACCAACAGAGGTTGAAGAACCATCCAAAAGGCTATGGTGATGGGTCCTGTTTACGGTCACTTCACCTCTCTTGGCTTGCCGCCGATCAATTGGTCCGACAGCGTCTGACGTGGCCCCACCTCGCCGGTGGGACGTCCAGTCGCACGGACCGGGAGGAGCAAGGCCTTCTCCCCGTAGCGGGAGGAGCGCATCGCTGCCAAGGCGTGTTCGAAGGAACCACGCCATGCTGTAAGTCATGCTTTTCTTCGAGATTGAGATCGGATTGGCCAACTTTATTCAGCTGGCGCGATCGCCTACAGCAGCCAAAGCCGCTATAATGATCCATGTGAATCTTAATATTCCATCTTTAGAGGTCATGCATGTCCCTGTCCCTGTGGGGTTTCAATCGCCAAGTGCCATTTGAGATGGTGTCTAAAATGCAGAACAAATAATGGTTGTGGGACGATCGTAGCGACTTGCTCCACGTCGCCCACACCTTGTGCCGTTCCTTGATACCTTTTTCTTCTCACCTGTCTCACCTTTCATGTGTACCCAAACTCAACCACCTTAAACATCATATAGCGGTCTCCAAATAGATAGCACAACTTCCAATACCTGAATGGGGTGTTACTGTTACTTTGCTGTCTACTTGCGGGTCTATACATCCAACTCTGAAAGCTCCTGAAATCGTCCATGATGCCGAAGTAGAAACACGACCCCGACGTCGCGACCGGTGTTTTGTGTTCTGCCGACATCTGCCGACCCATGGAAAACGAACACACCAAGAAACGAACGTGATGAACGTGAACGTGAACACCCTAAATTAATTGATCACAAGATCTATCACAAGTGTTCACTGCCTTTGGCTGATGTTGAAAACTTCCACACCACTTAACGGATCAAAAGTCTCGTGTGGTACACCCCAGCCCGTGCCCCACGTCGCATCTCCTTCAGCAGACTCAACTGTTCCTTCTTCATCTTGGAGCTCAAGACCTCCCCATCGGCCTGCCGAAGCCGAAGGATCCACGGGGCGAACGGGTCGAGCCGTTGGGACGGCGCTCCGAGGGTCGACGCGGGAGCCGACACCTCTGAGACTGACCGGACCTACCTTGGTCGCTCATCGTGGGTCACGCAGGGACCAGTCACGGTCACCAGGGGGTGTCGAAACTAGGTGCCCCTGTCACATTCGCTCACTGGATGGGTCCCCTTAATCCACCCAGTTCAGAGGAGTTTGCTCATGGTGATTCTGTCTCTTCATCTCCCTTCATCACCGACAGTCAGGTGATTCTTCTTCTCCTTCTTCTTCTTTATAGTCGCGTCCCACCGAAGCGTTCTCCACCGAACTCTCCGCCTTCGCGAGGGACCCACACACCGCGAAGCCCAAGAGGCTGGACAGGCGCTGGACGGGCTTGGTGGCGGCCAAGGTGAGCAAAGGTAGAGCCTCCCAGACCATCGTGGTGGATGCCAGGTACCTGGACCCTCCAAAGTACCTTAGAAAATGGGACATGACCCCATAAAACAGGTACTTGTACCCATTTTCCGAGGTACTCCAAATAGATGCACATGCCACAAATGCCATGGTCTCCCATTCAAATCCAGGTGGCCCATGCCAAATGGGCCAGGACGGTTTTTAGTTGTTTTTAGTATGTCGCGAGTGAGAGTGTATTGCAGTACAACAGCGGGACCTTCCAATGAGACCCTGGAAGAGGCAAAACAAACGACAAAACTGCATGAAAACCTCTAGAGTTTGGGAGTTTGGGTCTTTCCCTTTTCAAATGCACACCTGTACACACCCTCATTTTCGAGCAGGCCAGCATTTTGCCGGCCAGATCTTTCATCCTGGTCTTCTACCCATGCCTGGATTCCAACCAACAAAAACCAACTCGTTCAGCCTCGTGAGAAAAGAGCCTCTATAGGCAGGGACACCTCCCCAAACTAGGGAACTTCACAAAGACATTGTGGAGGAGAATCGCAGTTTCCAGCAACTGGAACCATCTCTTCTATGTTCCAACCGCTTCTACGGCTTCTCTCTTCCAATGCCTATGCCTATGCTCTCCTTTGGCGCGTCGAAATCCCGAGATCCCGGAGGGGCCGGTCGAGACCGGCCCCCGCAAGCTGCGCCTTGTCCACGAAGCTGCCGGCCCAAGCGCAGGAGGTGCCTCGTCGCGAGCGAAGGTCCAGTCGAGCGACACCGAAAGGAAGGACTCGATTGGTCCCGCTGCTGGGATGCCAGGGGGGTCGAATACCACCGAAGTTGAGGAGATGGGCCAGAAGCCCTAGGGTGTGAAAGTAGAACAGAACGTGGACAAAGCGTCCAACACCACTGATCAGGCCGGCAGCCACTTCATCCGATGCTGAATCTCAAATTGATTTTAAAACAATGAACCTGGAACCTGGGAAACAATATTCGAAAACCACGGGCGGCCGCAAGGAACATCAAGGAACACTCTTTTTCTCCCCGACCCTACCCTGCGAGTTGATCTTTAAGGATTTCTGACACACTGCATTTCGTATACAACCCAAGACCCTGCCCTACAGTGCTCGTCTCCTTGCTTTGGGACGATGGATCTTTCTCCCAATACTCCGAATCTGCGCTCCTTCCTGGTTAGCAGCTCCAGAAACTCTCTCTTTCCAGGTAGTTGATATTCTGTTTCCGTGAAGCCCACACCCCACCCACCTCACCCACCTCACCCACCTCACCCACCTCACCCACCCCGCCTTCGCGCGCTTCCGCCAGCTGCGCCAGCACTGCCAGCGCCGCCAGGCGCGCGCGGTCCGGGGCCTTTTTGTCCGAGAGCGGCTTCAGCAGTTCAGCCACCACCTCTGGGGACTGGTCGGAGAGCGGGTAGAAGGAGCTAGACTTCCGAACCGGTGAAGAGGTATAGGAGTCCGAAGCCCAGACTTCCGGGGTGAATCCAAGTGGCAGCAACGGCCGAAACGTCGCGTTTGAAGGGTGTTGGCATGTGTTTGGCCCTTTCAGTGCAGTTCAGGCAAGCAAATGGGCATATTATACATGCTTATATATGCTTAATATTTTAATGTATATTGGCCTTCTGGCGCACAAGAAATCAAATCACCAAGACCCGACGTGGAGTGTTTGGATTTTTTGGGGGGGCCACCGAGACCCCCAAGGCCCCACGTGCTGCAAGTGTAACAAACATTACATATATAGACCCCCAAGTGGATAGAAAATTTACTCCGGGGATCTCCGGGGAAATTTACCATAGAGCACGGGTCTGAAAGTTGGTGCTCATTAACATGGCACACCTGCAACGGTGACCTCCTGGTGACATGGGAAAGCACCGGTTTAGACTATGTGGTTTTTGGAGGTTAACATAGAACACTCTCAAGCAAGCATGGCTAGTTTCTGCAGCGGAACCGCAAATGCTACAGGCGCACACACTAACATAGACCACCCGAGGTGGCTCGAAACAAGCTTTCGATTGTTCCACGTTAGACTCAACAGCGTCCAACCTTGCCCAGATTTCCCTGGTTTGTTTCCACAGCTTTTCAATACTAACATAGCTCCAAATCTTAAGGACGCGCACTAGCCAAAAGCAGCCACACTAACACGGCACAAGGAATTTTGTTTTTTGTTTTCTTGAGATGTTAGATTTCACCGGTGTAGACCCCCAAATGAACAGAACCCAAGTCTAAGCAAATCCCACTGCAAATCCCCACTAAAAAGGTGTTGGACTTGTGCCACGGTCTATTTATTGGTGACAACTATGAACTTCGACAAGTTCGTGGATGATTGTTTGAAGTGATTTCTTGAGTAGAACCACCAATCATCTTTGAGTATATCAGTAATATCGAGTAAATCATAGTAATTTGCTTTGAGGTAGAACCTGTTGCTTGTTTGATCGTCCGAACCCTTGGAACCCTTGGACCCAGGTTGACCTCTCAGGTAGTCTATTCTATTAAATTTCTATGGGAAAAACCCAGGGTTCCCTGATGCCATGACGGACAGCCACACGTCCTCCACATCAACTCCTCGCGGACTGCGCTGTCCGTGGGTCCCCTAAGGGCGAACCCTGCGAGACGCGCCTGATCCTGCAGGTTGCTCGGCAAGCGCAGGGCCAGGGCCCCTAGGGCACGGTAGCCCAAGTAACGCGTCCTCGGAAAAAGGTGATGAGAAGGGCTTCCAGGCCGGAACCAAACGCTATCCTGACTCCACTGGCTCCCATGCTTTCAACCGGTGTAGATTTAGGAGGATTAGAGGATACAAAGGGCTTTGCCAACCTTTGCGGGCCAAAAGTGGATCAAGAGTTGGCACGTGCATGTCGTGGGTGAAGAGTTCTCTACATGTCTAGATGCGCACACCATTGGAGCCCGCACACCATTCGGGTCACTGGCTTCTAATAGGTCTCTCCAATTGGTTGGTGTAAACTATCTACCCTAAGAATTCGGGCTCCTTCACCAACACATAGGGTTTGGGAACCGGGTCCGGACCCCTGCTATCGCTTCAGTGGTGAAGGTCCGGACCCCTGCGATTCGGAGAGCCCCCTTGGGGGTTCCACCAAGTCACCATCCTGTAGAACCCAATATCTCCAGGTGCCGAATTTGTATCACAGGTACGCCAAACTAGTCAGCTCAGCACTACTGCTTCGAAAGAATTGATCAACTGAAGCCGTCAAAAAATACCCCCAGGTCACACCTCGTTCTTGGCAAAAGGACATCTGTTGCAATCTTTTGCCTATATCCTTCTTTCGCCTGGTGAAGAAGCCGCCACCCCCTCCCTCGCGTTGTCTTCTCTCTTCATCTGAAGATCTCTTCATTGGCATCTTCAGCAGCGACTTTGGCCAGGGGCCCCTTTGGATCCTGGGCGCCGAAGGCGAATCGATCGGGCCTTTGGACCCGTTTTCGGCCCGCGTTCCGCGCGGAACGCGTGAGGTGTCACATGCGAGACGCTGCAAGGGATCCTGGAGACGTCGACGTTTACTGAGACCATCTAAGACCTGACACCAGTGGACCAGTCTTCAGAGGGCTGTGAAATTGACATGGCGACACGCTGGCATCCACCCAGCGACCACCAGCTTTCCGGCATCCTCGGATAGGTGGCTAGCCAACCTCGGCGGACTGCTGTCTGCTGCTGTCGGCTGTTGCTACATGTTACTACCTATACCTGCTTACATCTAGCGCGCTGCTCTCATGCAGTCCTGGACGGGCAGGGTCATCATCCAGCGCCACCGGTGCTATCATTCATAACTCAAGCAAACACCAAGGCAAACCTTGTGGTCTTTGACTTACACCTGAACATGACCGCTTATTAGGTGCTCTTTTTTACGCCAAAAAGATAATTGCTGCACTCAAAAAGAGCATCTTAAAGATAGTCAAACATAATCGGTTATCCACAACCACACACACACCAAACCTGCCTGAGGCGCCCAAAACACAAGTGCACCGGGTGCCGAACTCCCTGAACCCAACTCCCCGAACCGACCGCTCCGCCGTGCCGCTCCGCTAAGGCCTGTAAGGCTGCCTCGCCGCTGACTCGCACGCGCTGACGCGCGCTTTCACGCGACGCGTCGGGTCCCGGTGATGCATCATGTCGCGTCCGTCTTCCCCCATTGGTTGATGGAACCAGCGGGGCATGGATGGTAAGGATCATTCAATGAAGCACCATGTATGGACAACACGTGATAGAAGCACCACATATGTCTGAATCATTCTGAATCTGATTGGTCCAACCCATGGCGGCAACTCTTCAAGTCGCTAGTGAGGCTCTTCACCGTTCTGAAGCCGCTCCCCCCAAACCACGATTTCAATTCTGAAGTACGTAGAATTCCAAACGGTTCAGACCTGTTGTGAACAAAAGGTCTAAGAACATGTCCAAACACAAGGCACACCTTCTGAGCTTCAACATGGAGACCAAACTGCTCTTCAGGATGTTAGGCACCCCCAAACCCGAATGTTTACTTCTCCAAACATATATGGATTTCCAGGCTGTTGACTCCCAACCAGCGCCGTGCCTGCTTCTCATCCACCTTGCCAGCCTTTTTGACCAGCTCCGCCCAGGACTGCCAGGAGGGACGATACAGTGGCCATTCACTTCACACACACCTCTGGGCATTTAAATGATTTGCCTTTGCCTTTTAATGGTGGCTTCAGAGTAGATGAGTAGATGGCACCCCAAGATGATATGTTCAAGTCCATATACGCCAACTTTTGGAGATTGTGCCATCTAATTACTCTCCGTCAAATCCGCAGGGAAGCAGCAGCTTCAGGTTTTAGTCTATGGATGTCTATGGTTCCTTTCCATTCTTGTTCCCTAGGGCCATTGATTCAACCACTCCTCAGGGTTCCAATTAATGATGGACCACTGCTCAGGGCCCAGTCGTCTCAAATATATAATCGAATCTGCTCCTCTTAAACTCACCTGTAACTGCCTTGAAAAACATGGGTCACAACACGACGCAACCATACGCAGCCCATGGGTTACCAAATTGGCCGTTTTGGCAACATTAAGCATATATAGAACCTGAGCACTAACTATCCTACTTCCTTTTCAGGTTCTAAGAATGTGCCCAAAGGCCCTTAAAGGGAACACCAAATAACCGAAACTACCCTCTCCTCTATATATATTTGATAGCATAGAAAATGCTGGAACATGATTCTCCAATATCAACTGGGTTCTTCTGTAGGTGCTGACCCCTTTGTCGACGAAGATCCGGTGTTCGCCTCGGCCACGGCGAGCAGCGCTTCGGCCGAGGAGTTCACGGCCACGTCTTTCACGAGTTCACGGCCCAGCCAGCGACGATCCTGGCGCGCTGCGACCGGTGATGGCCATGCCCGCTGTGGTGAAAAGCAAGCATATTATAGTGCTCCACTGCACGCCCAAGTAGAGTTAATAAATAGGTCATCCAACAAAACGAGTCAACGTTAGAACCGGGTATAACTTACTCTAGCGGGGTGGCCTTTAAGGTGATCTACTTTTAGACCTATATTGACTCCATAAAGTGGGATCATGGGCACATGATACAACACTTCATCGTGAAACTGCGCTGCGACCTGCGGCCATCACTGCACCCATCCGCTTGACCTCGGGACCTCGGCCCGCCTTGTCCTTGAGCCGTTCAGGTGCCGTCTCCAGTAGCTCCTTCGCATGGTTGGAGAGGTCCAGGCGAAGGCTGCCGACCTGCCGTCTGTAACCACGAACCAAATTGGCCGGATCGATTCCGGTGGGTCTTGGGGTGATGTACTTCTGATGGTCTCAGTGTACTTCGAACTTCTCCATGTGTGGAGAGTCTGGAACTTGGACACGCTTGGACCGAAGGATCTGCAGTTATCCCCGGCACATCGCCCCCTCGCGCACCATCGATGGAAAAGAGACGGCGCTGGGAGCTGGCTGTCGCTTCCTCAAGCGGCGCTGGCGTTGGTCGTCGGTGACGGCAAATCTGTCTTTGGACTGGCATATTTACATACATTGGGGTGGTTTCAGGGGTCAATGTATATATGGCAGTCCGATGGGTCGTGGTGTCCAAAAGATCTCCCTTTTCCACCGAGTGGTGGGACAAGACTCGGGAGATCTGGGGGCAAACACGGACACTTCTGAAGTGGACATGCGTTGATTGATGCGTTGGGCATCGGACGAGTTCGGACTCTGAGTCGTGTGCATTTTGATAGGGAGATAGTTTAAACCACGATGGGTTTGGGGTTTGTCCCTTCTTCCAAGAGGGGTCGGAATGTCTGGGAGGCTCTCGGTCTTGAGCTACGCACTCATGGTCCGATGTTCTACGACCTGGTGAACCCAGGACCCACCCACCGGCGGTTTGCATCAATTTCACTGACATGGACCTGGAAAACACACACTTTAGGGTGCCAAGCTTTCTTGATCTTTCTTGCATCATGTTCATACCACAGTTCATGCAGTTGATTGCACTGCTTGCTGCTCAACCTAGGCCATGGGCACGACATCCGAGCGTCATCATCCGCAGCGCCAAGGGCAGCAGCTGCTGCGCCAACTCTTCGCTGCTACTGGCGGCCGCCACGGGCGACCACGCGTGGAGCGTGAAGTCTGTGAGGACCTTCTTCGCCTCTAAGACCTGCGCCGGGGTCGATGGCGCCGGCGTCGCTCAAAACGAGCAGTAGCCGCGTTTCTCGGTCGAAACGTCGGGAAGAATGGACAAGGCTCTTTGTGATTGGTTAGGAGTACCCAAACGCCGAACATCGCCAAACGCCAAACATGGGATTGGAATATGGAATCATGGCATTCCGGTGGTTCGCCGGGTCGGGGGGGGGTCCATGTGGTGGGGAAGCATGTCTTCCAGTCTCATGGAACGTCTGGGAGTCTGGCTGACATGCTTTGTGAAAAAAACGCATGCCTGCTGTGCGAACGCAGCGCATATCAGATCGAAGGATGTGGCGAACGCCAGCGAGTTCGCCGCAGTACACGTATACGGACGAAACCGAGGACCACGACGACCAAGAATGAGGCGAACGCAAAGCGGTTCAACTTGAGTCTCTGGAGTTTGAAGATGTGGAGCCGCACCAGAAATCAAAAGACCTTCCCTACAGGTCAGTTGGACCTCATTTTACTGGAGTTGGCCATGCAAAGGCACTACCTAAGGAGGTAGAAAACAAGGTTTTACTGGATCTTTGGACTTGTAGGGCTTCATGTTCATGCTACGTTTCTGGTGTCCACCTCCCTAACTGTCCAAGCCACATGTTTCGAGTAGAGCTCGAGCAGCGTGCTGCGCTCCACATTGGGCGTTCGCGTCAGGGCGGCCACGAGCAAGGCTGGGGGATCCTGACACGAACTGCGCTCCACTTTGATGTAACCCAACCTGAGACCATCCATGTCAATGGCCCATTGACCTTCATTGGAGTGCTTTCAGGGGTCAATGGAGGAATTGTATTCCATAGATGGATTGGTCTGGGATCAATACACAGTTATCAAACTACTTGGTACTGTCCATGCTGCCATCAGGGTCATTTCCCAAGCCACATATAGGTTGAGACTTTCTGATAGTGATTTGTGGCAAGTAGAAGTTAGCTTAAATACAAATGTGATCCGCGAAGCACACTGCACCATGTGAACATGGTGTACACAGTGTACACATTGTGCCTCTTTCTTGGATCATCAAATTAAATGTCAAACCCACCGGTATACTGCCCGGTGCCGCGCCTTATAAACAACACATAACAACACTATGATGGCTGACAGGATCTCCGTCATCTAGGAGAACTGAACAAATACTCCTGTGACTCTTGTGCGGACCCCCATCCTCCACCACTGGGAGTGCCATCCCCCCACCCAAAAGTCACAAAAGAACAAACGCGACACCAACACACAACCCCCGGCTTTGTCCTCAGATTTTTTTCAGAAAAGCCAAGGCCCAAGGCAATATGACCTGCTGCACTTTCCAATGTTGCAAGGGGGGTCGCAAGGCGGGAGGAAGGCTGCAACGTTGTTGGTATTTGGGCAAACGAGTGTTGTGTTTCAATGTTCTTAGCTTCTGAGCGCGGAAATCACCGTCTATAGTAAGCCCGCCAGCCATTGTCACAATCGAGGGTGTCAAAATGATCATGCCTTTTGGAGCTTTCCAGCCCACTGTCAGGACTGTCGACATTGGATGGTCAAATCCCTTGGCTGCCGAGTGTTGAGAACGGATTTTCGATGCACGAGGCCTACCAAACAAAGAAAAACCACATGAGATAATTGCACATTCCCAGAACACCCATGTATGGAAGAGTTGGACCATGTTGTACCAGGTCATAATTGGGGTACATGTACCTAGAATCCATTTGACCCATGTCTTATAGGAAAAACACACCATCTTTTGGGTGGTTGGTGGTTGAAAGCAAAGGTCGCTCTAGGTATGTAACTCTTCCATGCATGGATGCTCTAATAGTTGTCCTTCCAGGAAATGAGGTCCAAAGGATCGAACCCGGCCCGGCTGAGTTCGCCACTTCGGGATCTTCAATCAGAGTCATAAACTGAATGTTGCGAAGACATCCAAACCTCGGGGTGCCTGCCATACGTGCCAGCAGTTGGCAGAAAAGGAGTGGTCCAAATCGTGCCCCTCCCAGGCACATCTGGTGGATGTTTCGAAACGTGGATGGCACGTCTAAGGTGGGGACCCCCAAGTAGCACACCGCACACGGCCTCTGGCATGGCCCCCATCACCTTCTGCAAGCTCCGCGTCGCCTGCCGGTCGCGGCGAATGGTCGCCGCAGTCTCCGGTCGGACGGACGTACATAGCACGGCCGCCGTTCGGAGCTCAGCAGGTCCACTCGGAATGGGCGATGCTAGACCGTGCTAGAATGCTAGACCGTCCTCAGCGAAGGATGAGATGTTCGAGTTCTTAAGGGGCCATCCAACTGAGTCATACTTCGTCTAAACCATCCAAGGGTGAATTTCTTCAGGGATGGTGCAGTCCTGTTTAGCTTCTGGCTGCCAGCTGCTGTCGTTTTCTCCGGAAAAAGCGGATGTTCAGGTGCTCTTCACTCAGAAAAACGTCTCCGTGACAATGTGAGTGTTGCATCGTGTTGATCATGTTGATCTCTTCACCCTGTGTTGGACAGTCCTACCCTCCCATCCACTCTTCTTCCAGTCTCTGCTGGCGAAACACCATCAGGATGTCCCACAACCGGATCCAGCCAAGAGACCGTCTAGAGTCCTTCAGAAATAGGACATGAGCTCTGAAAACATGCCTGAAGTGAAAACAAACATCGACTCCCCACAAACCCTCTCATGGCACTGCATCCAAGTGCGTCCCCCTTGCCAAGAACCGTCCTGAGTCCTGCAGCGGCATGCGGCTGTGATGAAAACATCTCTCTTGTCACACCAGCAGCACCATAAAATTGGGATCAATCTGCATTTGGTGAGACCTCCGCTCCTGTTGCGTCATTCATGTCTCCCCCAAGGCCCGTCGTCGTCTCACGGAGTCTCCGCCCGTCTCCGCGCGCCTTGAGCTGCCATCGTCCAGGCCATCGGATGCAGCGTGCCATCTCGGAGCACCAGGCGTCCAACAACGAGGTCACGACCTCACGGTAGCAGCGGGGGAAGAGAAGGTCGTGGCACGTCGAATTGGGTTTCACCTCTTCAAATGATCAAAATCAGTGGCGGAAAAATCGAAAGGTTGAAAAGACATCGAAGACCACGAGTCCCAAAGGTTAATTGCTATTTATTGCTTATAGGAAGCTTGGAGGACATTGCTGTTGGAAAACAGAAGGCCTCTCTGGAAAGTGACCATTTCCGCTTCCATGCGTGTCTTAGGTCAAGGATATGATACTGTCAAGGATCTAAATACAGTATAATATATGAATCAGTATACTGTATACAGTTCTAGCTTCCTCAAATCCGGCTTCTTGTGTCGCCAAAGAACCTCCGCCTTGAAGGCTCCCTCCTTCGAGAGGCACTTCTGTGCGTTGCTGGAGTGGAGCCACCGCAACAAGTACTGCAGCATGAGCACCTGAACTGCGTCCACGACGCGTAAAAACAAGCCGTTTCGAGGTGCAAGGAAGGAAGCCACATCAATGTCACAGTGCCGTTCCATGCACAGGAAAACGCATGGAACTGCTTCATCCTGCTTGAGTTGTTCCTTTCGTTCACATACTTGGGACCAGCTCTGAGCACCCCTGCCATGATCCGAGGCTTGAAGCATGGCTGCGTCTTTGCCTCAGTGCCACATGCTCCCGGTCCAGCCGTCGAGCAGCGTCGCTGCGAGGTCAATCCAGCCACCCCCGAGCAAGCACAGGCGTCTTCGTGGGTCAAACGCCTCCTGCAGCCTCTTTTTGTTGCCTCCAAACATGAATAGAATGGCAACATGGACGATTCGTAGCTTATACATCCTTGTGCTATTACAAAATGTTAGCATAGTCTGCATGGTTCAGGCCTAGGCCTAGGCCTCTACCTGCACCCAAATACACACCCTCCCCACGAAGCTGGCCATCTTGGCCAACTGCTCCCTCAAAAAGAAACTCCGAGGCTCATGATGTTTTCTGAGTGTCTTGCTGGTCTGGGAAGTGACAGTGAAGCCACGCAATCGGACAGTCGAATAAAGCACTTACACAGTGCATCACTATAATATAATACTATACATCATGCATGAAGGTTTGCAGGAAGCAATTTGGGAACCCCCTTCGTAGCAGTTTGGGGAGGTGTCAAGGCTGAGCCTTTACGATACCAAAGGCTCCTTGGTTCACCCGACACGGTATCTCCACGTCTTCGTTCGGCATCCAGTGGCTTCTTTCTTCATGAGCTTGAAGAAAAAGGCTTGCACGTCCGCCTGACCGCGCACCCTCTTTTGCAGGCCAGTTTCATTGACAGTCGACAGCTTCGCTTTAGACATCTTGTAACGTTGTAACATGACTGGCGGAAAACAGCCGTGGCACCCAGTTGCCACACCGAGGACCTCTTGGGCGAGCAAATTGTTCAATTGCTCTGGGATTTCCAGCGGTGGCCTTCCCACAAAAGCCCTTTGGGAGACTGGCCTTACGGCCCGAAAGGCTGTGAACGAGCTTCTAGCTCAGAAACTATTGAAACATTGGAGTGGCACATCAGTCCAGGTCCGTAACTTCTGGCCCAGTTCGGGGCTCCCACTATTAAAATACGTCCCCAGTTCGTGCCATCCACACCTGGCCCAGTCTTTTCGACCGCTCCTGGCCTTACTAGCATCATCCTCATAGGCTCGGACGGAAGAGCCTGTTCAACGCGACCGTTTGGCTCACGCGTCCCGGACCGTGGACCGTTTGGCCTGGTAACACCGAAGCTTTGGACCCTTCGGAACTGGAGGGTTTGGGACTCCTTCACCAAAGCTTCACCAAACCTGAGGGTCCGCCGTCTGAAGGAAGGGAAGGGAAGATGTTTGGACCCAGTTTCTGGTACAGAGTTGATCGCTTTTTTTCATGAGTCTCATTGGGTCTTTAAGTGGACGACTGATGACGATGCGAATGATGCGATTTGAATGTGGAGATGCAAATGGACGAAGATGCCACTCGCAACTGGAACGTCAAAGTACCATATAGGCACCGCGGCACTGCCGGGAATTGAGACCATTGAGACCGCATCAGTTTCACCTAAGTGTTTCTTTGTATGTTGTTCCCATGTGTCTTTCTGTCCCATCGCTTCGAACAAACAGGGCTAGATCGTCCATCTCCACGCAGCGAACGAAGGAGCTCTCCTGCACGGCCCAAGAGCTCCAGGCAAAGGAACTGCAAGGACCTCGGTGACCGGTGCACGGTCGAACGGCCCCGAGCGGTGCACGGTCGCATCGCCACGTTGGTCAATGGGAATTCACGAGAACTTCTTGTCTGTTGTGGTCTTTTTCGATGCGATCGTGGATCCTGTGGCACAGGGCAAGTCTTCTTTAAAGGGCCCGGGTGAAGAATCAGGTCATGTTTGCAGACTCTTACGTCAGAAACAACATGAAACAAGGACTCATAACAGTCTCCTGGTGATCTACGAGTCCTAAATCAACTTGCCCAGTGAGCCTCCGAGTCCTGGTCGCCGTCTTCTCCAAGTGACATGCACATGGGTACGCGCGGCGCGGCCATACTGGCGACGAAGGTGATCAAGGCCTTGCAAAGATCAGGAGCCAAGTCCTTCTTCCGCTCCTCCGCAACGGGCCCGTCGGCGCCGACGCCCAGGCGATGAGGACAGGCAGAAGTAGTGTGGCACTTCTTTGTTCTTGGGAGTTCAGGCATGTTTAGGCAGAGAGCGTCAAATTTGCTCCTGGAAGATGTGTGGTTTACAGCCCACATGATCTTGTACCCTTCCCCCAGATCTCCTGTGCTTTCTCCAAGAGCTCTTCCAAAGCCTCGCGGCAGCGCTTCGGCGCTGCGCTCGGCAGCTCTTGCGCCAAGGACTTGCAAAGCCTTGGCGTCATCGATCGCTGTCGGTCGGTGGTTGCAGGTGGTCGCAGGTCGGACATACATTGACCCCTAAAACCACCTCAATGTAGGTAAATATGCCAGTACCATGGAGAGACTGGGAGTGGTGGAAGAAACAGAAGCAGTGGTGTCATAACTGCCGTGTGATCGGCGATTTAGGTGGTGTCATAACTGGCGATGGGTAGGTGGGCGGGTCTGAAACATCAACGGTTGGAAAGGTTCCACTTCCACTCCACTGGCAGTTCACTCACCATCTTTTGAAGTGTTGGCCTAGGGCAGTGAAATATGAAGGGAAACCAACATCCATGTTCATGGGAACCTTGGCCTGCGGCATAACCCTGCACAAATCTGAGCATGTTTAATGCTCGGCAAGTGTGATGTGTATGTGCATATACATATAAGTCAATTTCATTGTATTCAGGTAATACAACATTGTATTCAGGTGTTAGTCCTGGGGTGTGTTGGAAACATGTTGGACATGTCAACGCACTGAAGCAGCACTGTGCCCCGTTGGCCATTTTTCTCCCATCCGAGCAGTCCATGCTTCGGTGCCAATCCTTTAGGCTATAGGCTATAGGCTTTCGAGCTTCAGCTCAAATCAGCCTGATGCAATCTCCATCAGACATCGTAAGGTCTTTCTTTAAGAAATAGAGTGGCTTTCCTGGGCTTGAGCTCAAGCTGCCATCCTATCAAAGTAAAAGAAATCTTGTCGAAACATAGTTTGGTAAGACTACAGCTAAGCTTCGAGGTGCCAACTCCTGGCTCAACTGTTCAATGTCAATAAAAATTAGTACAAAACAGCAGATCATTTGTCAGGCATTTGCCTAGAGAAGGTCCTTGCTTTCTTTCTTCAAGAATACACGCCACGCCCGGCACAATGTTTGTGAAGCCTCAATGGCCTCGGCTGGAGGAGGAGCGTCAGCATCAGGGTGATTGACATAGTTTGATAATAGGTCAACATCAACAGTTCGTGCTGAGAAACATTGGTGTTGAAGGCGCTTGCTACTGATGTATACTTCAAAGAATTGAGGTTTGCCGGCAAACTCCAGGCAAAAAAGATCTGCTGTGGCTTCGGTTTGATTGTGTAGTGCCATGCTGCCTCATCACCTAAGCCAGCAGGAATGTTTTTGCTACACCTAGTGGGCACAACAACTCAGACCTTGTCACTTTGAAATAAATGTTCATTCTTCGTACACCCCTGAGACAATCACTGTTGTCTCCCACTGCTGATGGCTTTACCAGGTCATGGCAGTTGATGGTAAAGTCAGAAACTGTTTGGGACAACTCATCGATCAGCTCACGTAGGCTACATTTTTCACCATCAATGGTTTGTTTCGAGTTTTCCTCCGGGATCTCCAACACCACTTGGTCCTCATCACTCGTCCAGGAGCAGATCATGATTCGATCCAGTTCGCCTGGCCAGGCTGAGGTGAAAAACCGGGAAATGGGAGCAACCAGGGTTGGTGGGTTGGTGACAGTGTTGGATGTGGTGCACTGACATCAGGACGACTTCTTTTTGCCGCTTCATATCGTTTGAGCTCATTGCTTCCCAAGCTCACCTAATGACCTAATGGTTAAAGACTTTGTGAACCCCTAATGAAAAGACTTTCACACTCAGACCTGCTGTATCCACAAGGGATGTTTGTCCACTGTGTTTCTTTCAGGTCATTTCTCCAAACAGACAGGTCTAGTGTCTTTGCCCCGCAAAAGTGCACCCAATGGCTGGCTATTGATGCCCTACGAAAGCAACACCGCTATGGAAGATGTGCATTCACACTCCCTGGCATTGCTTTGGGGCCACAGTCATGGAACATACTACCTGGAACAATGCATCAATCATCAATTCAAAAGGAACCTTTTCCTGGATGCCTAGCAGAACTTAAAACATGTCAGTCAGTGCCAGACAATGGGATTTAGGGTGCAGAAGATGCACTTGGTTCCGATGCCAGCTCTGGCTCTGCAGGCGCACTTGGTGCTGATGAAGATTCTTGCTGAGTGGCTGGGATCTCAGGCTCAGCGGGGTTGGAAACATAAGTCTTCAAACGCCGTCGGCTGATCTCAGACTTGGACATCAACTTGATGGTGTCAAGCCTGTCTGGGTGAATCCTCCACCTGATGTCAGGGGTTGGACATTTGGTGCAAATGGATCAAACATGAGAACACAACATCCTCATGATGCCATCATGGTTAAAAGGTCTCAGGTAGGTGTACTATGAAATGTGCCTGCGACGGGCTTCTACCATCACTTCCTTCTTGGTCCAGTCCGGGAAATCAGCAGCAAGCTGTGCTGAGCAATCACGAAGATGATCATAGTATTTCTTGCGCATCCCAACCAGTCCAGCAGCACCACCCTGCCAAGCACAAGACTTAAGGCTAAATGAAGACTGAGCTGTTTCACAATGAACCATTCCAAATCTTTCCAATATTAAGGATGTCGAAGTGACACGGACATGCCCTGCCTTCGTTTTGGGCACAGGCTGATTTTCTTCATCTTCCTCCACCTCCTCATCTTTTGTCTCTCCATCTTCCTGCTCTTCCTCCTCTTCCTTCTCCTCCTCCTCTTCCTTCTCATCTTCCTTCTCTTCGACAGCAGCCGCTTCCTTCTTATTCTTTCCATTTCCCTGACAGATGAAGATATGACACAACTGAACAGTGACAAGAACACATGACACATGATGACAATGAACACATCAACACACATTGACTCCCAGCCTTAACAGGAGCTTGTTCTTTGGGGTTTCGTGGCTTCCTTGTTTTCCTTTTAGGTTCCTCCTGTCCCAAGACCAGTGTGGTGGCATTCGAATCACTGTCACAATCCTCCTCTGCACCCTCAGCCTCGAACTCTGAGTCAAGCTTCCTGATCACAGGATCTTTCCGCTTCTGCCTTTTGGGTGGGGCCAGCTGAGATTCCTCCAGGCCCCCATCAACTTCTTCGTTCTTTGGCTCCGGCTTCTTCTTCTTCTGTTCCTTCTGAACCTTTGCAGCAGCTGTAGGCTCTACCCCGGCCTCTTCCTTACTAGGCTGTTTGGGCTTTCGACCCCTTCGCTTACTGACTCCCTTCTCCTTCTCCATGTTGGAGGTGGCTGCTTTGGCTGCATCTTTCAAACTCAAAGTTGATGATCTCTTGGCATTATCCTTTGTTTTCGACTCTGATTTGCTTTCCGAGGCAGCAGTCAGCTCCTCAGTCTCATTCTTTTTGATCCGAGCCTTCGCTGCCTCCACTGCTTTCTCTCTGGCAGCTTGTTTGTGAGTCTTCTGATCCTTCTCCTTCTTCTTCTTTGCAGCCTTCCCCTTACACTTTCTCCCTTTGCCTTTGGGCTCGTGTTCCTCTTCTTCCTTTGCATTGTCAGCCTGGTCAGATCCACTCTTTCCATTCTTTGTCAGCTTCCTCCGGCTCCTCTTCGGTTGCTCCTCCTCCTCCTCCTCTTCCTCCACTTCCTCTTCTTCGTCCTCTCCATCAGATTCCTTCTCCTTTGACTTTCCCTTGGGCGCTTTGCGCTTTGCTTGCTTGAGCTTGTCATGCAGTGCATCCTTCTGTTCTGGTGTCAGCTGAGGATTGTTGTTTGAATTGCTTTGAAGAGCGGACATCGGAAGCTTCTCTTTCGGTACCTGACATGAGATGAAAGGAGCAAGTGAGCACAATAAGTAGTGGAATTGAGACTGGACATTATCTAGAGTTTAGAGTGTGTTTAATGTGTGTGTGCGCACCTTCGAAGCTGAACTCTTCTCTTCAGAAACTGTTGCCCTTGGGGCTGAGTTTTTCAGGCCCGAGGCTGCTGAAGTAGGGGGGCTTGATGTAGCCTGTCAACAATGCACACCAGGCAAAACTGAAGTTTATAGGAAGTTGAAGGATTCAAAGTCAAGCGCAACATATGTGACTGAACAGGGAATCTAGAAAGCAGCAAGTGGCCTGGGCAGGGGGTGATGTAATCAGGGATGCATCTGCTTTCATCAGCGCATCGAAGTCCTGTCTAGCAGTGATTACTGCATTGTATAGTAAGGTCACCTGTACAGCCTGTACATTGTTTTTGCACATGTTTGATTTTAATAAAGGCACACACCAGTCCTTGTTGAAGCCGCACTCAGCAAGAAGAGATTGCAACGCCGACATGTGCGCCAGACTTTGGGTCTACTTTCACTGGCTACTGTGCACAGTGTGAACTGACAAGTGAGAGCCTAAAAGGAATAACACCCAATCATGGTCAGGGTTTTCCTAATACAATCTCTGCTCAGGTCAATCTCTTCTATATAATGGTCACAAGATTCCAGAAGTATCAGAGTCCACCAACATGTTGTGGAGAACGCATGAAAGTCACACCACCACTTAGGGCAGCCCCCTGCCTTGTGATTGTTCACGCTTCAGCTTGGAGACCTTGTCTGCATTGAGGAACTTCGATCCGCCATGGCCCAGTTGGAGATCCTGGGAGCTGATCTCGACATTTGTGTGCGCTACCTCAGTTCAGACTCACAGGATCTGACAACATGATATACAACAACAAGCTCTTTCAGACCTATTCCTGACAGAAGGAACCCTAGCTTGAATTTGCAAAACCTAGCTACAAGAAATAGCTTGAAAGACTGCCGTTCCTGTACATCATTTGTTGTCCCATCTCGACGGCTTGACGGCACTACATACAGGCTGGTGCCTGCACTCTTGCCTGCCAGTTTGGCTTCCAACACGTATGCGTCATTGAGTTCCTTCAAAGTTGTGGGTTCGACCCAGGTTGGACCTGTCTCTTCAGCTGACTCTTCGCAGGGGACCATAGCTGCGTCAGTTGGTGGTGGGCTGGGTGTCGCTGAAGTGGAATCAAACCTAGGCAACATGGTTTTGGCAAGTATTTTTTGTATATTATGTAGTGCAAGAGGAATGACATTGAATTGGCAGCCCCTGCAACATGTTGAATCAAAGAAACTTTTGGTCAAAGTCAAGCAAAAGCTGCCGCCATTCAGACCCCCAGATCACATCGCTCTCGTGCAAAGCGCGGATATTTGGTGG